ATGGCCACTCTCTGTGTTCCTCTTCCTGGAATTCTAGTCTGGTAGCCCCACCTGCCTGGCTACATCCTGCCTGTTCATTGGCAGAAACAGCTTTATTCAATAAGAGAAACATATATTCACAGCATACAGAAGGATATCCCACATCAGACTTTATTTTTATGTGTATGAATGTTTCGTCTGTATGTATATATGAGTTTGCATCATGAGTGTACTTTGTTTCTGTGGAGGCTAGAAGACAGCATCACATTCCCTTGAACTGATGGAAACTGATGGGTGCTGGAAACTGAACTTGGGCCCAGTGTTCTTAACTGCTGAGCCCTCTGGACAGCCTCCATTTATTTATTTTTGAGGCATGGTGACTTACTTACTTCTCTGTTGCTGTGATAAGACACCATGACCAAGGCAACTTATAGAAGTTTATTGGGGATTTATACTTTCAGAGGGTTAGAGTTCATGGCTATCATGGTGGGGGACATGGCACCCAACAGGCATGGTGTCAGGCAGGAATGGTGTTAGAACAGTAGCTGAGAGCTTACATCATGATCTGCAAGCATCAGGTAGAGAAAGCTAACTGGGAATGACTTGTGCTTTTGAAAACTCAAAGCCCACCCTCAGTGATACCTCCTTCAACAAGACCACACCTCCTAATCCTTCCCAAACAGCTCCACCAACTGGGGAGCAAGTATTGAAATATATGAACCAATGGAGGATATTATTCAAACCACCACACAGTATCGTTGAACCTGGAGCTCATTGTTCACATAGACTAGCTGTCCAAAAAGCCCCAGGAGGATCTGCCTATCTTCACACAAATATCCTCCCACTCCAGTACTGGGCTTACATATGTATTCTACGGGACTGGGCTGGCCTAGACTGGCCTTTTATGTGAGAGTCACCCTGATCATGGTGCCCCTTCACAAAAGTAGAAACCCTAAGACAAGTTGGAAATCTGAACTCAGGGCTTCATGCTTGTGCAACTGAGCCATCTCCCCAGCCCCAAAGACCCTTTCAGAAACATTACAGCTGCCGGTGCTGGGTCAGGACTAAGCCATATGTCTACACAATGGCTGATGAGCCTTTGCAGAGCAGCTTCCATGTGAGCATACGACTTACTGAATTGCTAAGGTGAACTGGTTTTTAAGAATGAGAGGTGTTGAGAACCAGTAGTGTAGGCAAAGCCATTCAAAGTGTTCTGCCATGAAAGAAATAGCAAAATGGGATGAGAGAAGCAGGCTTGCTTGTGTGGTTCCAAGAAGGAAAATGGTTGGGAGGGAGGGCTGCTGAGAAGAAAGAACGCTACTGTGTGCTTTGGTTAAGCCATTTGAAAGTGAGGCAGGGTATATGAACACGGGGGTGGGGATGTGAGAGGGATTTTAGAGTTCTTTCAATTGCTTCACTGAGGTGAAAGGAATATCAACACTGCATGTCACAGTAGATGGTCCCGGGAATGAGTCTGGTCCTTCAAAGCTTTTAGAGTAGATAATGCCATGTAGTAAACACTCAAATTGACAGCAATTTAAAGCTGCTGCTAAACCCCAAGATACAGAATGGCATTTGTTCATCAGTTTTACTGGGGGTGGGATGCGGACTTAAGGTCCCTGGTGAAGTAGCTGCGCCTCAGGATGCAAGAGTGATGCACCTCGAGTAGAATCCAGCCTGGAACTTTGAATCTGAACTCCCTGGGGTGAGAGTGATGCAATCTGGCTGTTCTAGATACCGGGCAGCAGCAATAGTGACCAAAGCCCCACTGGCCTTGTGACCCTGCAGTGCCCTCCTGCCTGTGTGTTCCCTGGAGCCAGGGTGCTCCGCAGGCCAGGTGTTCTCAATGCGCTTTCAACCTACAGTCCTTTCAGTTTAGTAAGCGTTTCTCTGGGTGTAATGTAATAAGAGATCTAACTAGCCTAACCTGCGGTGCTGACCACGCCCAAGTGGGTGTGGTCACAGGTGCGTAGTGAGAGTGTGGGATTTTGGTCTGGGGTCCAGGACAGGCTTGCTCTCTTGGTTCCAGTTGGGTCACTGAGAGCATCTGGGTGTGGATCCTTGGAGTCGGAACTTGTGGGTCCTCGGTTTCCCATGTAAGTGACTTCTCCCCAATGAAATTAACCTATATTTATTCTAGTCCCGTGTATCTTAATCTGCACATCTACAGTGTAACCTCCAAATAAGTTAAGCATCTGCCTCGACGTATTTAAGATATGTTACTAATCTTTTCATTTGCAGTTAATCCCCTCCTTCCATTTATTGTACTTTGGTTTTGGGTACTGCTGGGAATGGAACTAAAGTGTTCACATATGAGCAGGTCCCTATCCTAGCCTTCCTACCTTTAAAATGGGCTTTAAACGGGTGCTACGTTGCCCGATGTGGTGGCACTCACCTTTAATCCTAGCACTTGGGAGCCAAAGGCAGGAGGATCTACATAATTGAGGCTAGCTAGGGCTACATAGGGAGTCCCTGTCCCCCCGCAAAAAAAAGGCACTAGATGATAGGGCTCATCTTTTTCTTTTAATGACCCTTTTTGAAGGTAGCACACATGCGTATTTTCATATATGTAAGAGTTCAGAAACATGCAGCACAGTGAATTATAATGGTCATATATGATTATGTAACCCATTTATCCCAGATCAGGTTCCATTTGGGGGCTAGCTTTTGGTTTCTTGTTTTCTCCCTTAAATGTCCATAGTTCACAAAATGGAAAGCTGGCCACCCCTGTGTGGGGACCCAGCATAGTTTTTCAGCATTCCTGACCTCTGAAAATTCCAAATCTGGAGATATATTTTATGCGGCAGAGCCTAAGAAACATTGCTAGGTCATCCTGTTGCTGAAGAAATGAATCCTCAGATGTCCTGTCAGTTCCCAGAGTCATGAGAAAATGTTCTGACATGAAGCTGGTTCCTGAAGCATTCTTCAAATCATTTCCCAAATGAGTGACTTTCTTATGAGAACTAGCTTTCCCTGCAACCCCAAGGCAGCCAGCTACCATGTAAGCTCAAAATCCAGGGTCCTTAAAATGTCTCAGATTCTTGAAGACTAAATGCCTCTTACGAGTTGGCTGAGATTGGTCATTTATTCTTTTGTCTTGACTTTGTACCCAAGAATGTTTGTCTAGCTTCCCGCCTTGTGTTTCTCCAAGCCAGATCCCCAGGGTATTACCAGCCAGATCACAAATAGCCACTTTATATCTAGCGCCTGGATTGTCGTCTGTCTTCCAGGATGTAATCCACAGGGCTGATTGGACACATCTAAACTGTAGCACTTTTTTGGAGGTGAATTTCTTGTGTTTTATGGTTTTTTGCCAGTTTGTTGTTTTCTACATGTACCGTTTATGTGTGCACACAATGCTCAGACCCTCTAATTGTGGTAATTGTTTATCAGCTGAAAATTAGTGTTTAGGGGAGATGCCTGTTTTTAATTGTGGGCTCATCAAAGGCAGCCGGCAGTCCCTCTGTGAGATTTACTGATTCATGATTTTACTTATTTTGATATTCCTGGGCAAGCTGTCTATGACGGTTAGTTTTAAATGTCAACTTGCCACTTAGAATGGCCTGAGCAGGGAACCTCAGTTGCAGAATTACCTTGGCTGTGTTAGTTAACCTAAGAAGGCCCACCCCAAATGCCGTGGCACCTCCTGGTAGCTGCCCGGATAAAAAGCACCCAGGAGGAAGAGTGTGTGTTCACCCATTGCTTGCCTGGCCTTCCCTTTGCCACTGAGTTAATTTACCCCATCGCTGCTGCTGATTCCTGATTAATTAATTGGCTTTTCCCAGTTTCCAGTGTGGACTGAAGACCACCAGCCCTATAGACTGACAAACTACCCGGGGGTCAGCCTCTTCAAGTAGTCACTGGTGTAGTGCTGGCTGCGCAAGCATCCAGCCTCAGGGACCAAGCACCAAGCAAGTTCTCAGCCTCTTAGGTGTAAGGCAGCTGTCATTGGACTATTTTGACCATACCGCATAAGCCAACTTAATAACTTTTTAAATTTTAGTTGTCTTCATTTTATGTGTGTGAGTGTCTTGTCTGCATGTATATATGCTCCACATAAGTGCCTGGTGTCTGAGAAGACCAGGAGGAGGCATTGGGTCCCCTGGAACTGGAGTTGCAGACTGTCTCAAGTTGTCACGTGGGTGTTGGGAACCAAACCAAGATCTCCAAGAACAGCAAGTGCTGTGGTTGACCTCTGAGCCTCTCTCCAGTCCCTAATAAGTCATCTTAAAATATGTGTAAGTTCATTCTGTTGGTTCTATTCCTAGAGAATCTCAATACACTGCGTTACGTGAATTTGCTTTTCATTGGCAGTGTGCAGTGTGCAGTGTGCAGTGTGCAGTGTGCAACGTGCAGCATCTTATGACTTAGGCAACCACTATGTGGGACCAGTGGGGTATTGCATGCCCTCGCTCTGGTAGTGCTTGATAACTGATATTTAGTGAGCTATCCCAGCATTTAGTCGTCCCCCCACCCCTACCCCAAGGCACACCTAGGATTCCTTCTTCCCTCTCTCTTACATGTGGTGATGTATTATTTATGATTTATTAGAGCTTGCCTGAGGGTTCAGAAAGCAAAGTTAACCATAGGCCATAGAAGTCAGGCAGTGGTGATACACACCTTTAATACCAGCAACCACACCAGCAAGCCATAGAGTCAGGCAGTGGTGGCACACACCTTTAATCTCAGGACCCAGGAGCCAGGCAGATGGATCTCTCTGAGTTTAAGGTCACTTTGGCCTACACAAGAGTGAAGAGTAACAGAGTTCATGCCTTTGATCCCAGCACTAGGAGACAGAAGTGCTGTGGCTGGGCAGAGAAAGGAATAAGAGGAGGAGGAGACAGAAACTGAGAGCTTTTGCTTCTGAGGCTTTGTGGAGACAGGATTGCCACTTCAGAGGTAACATCTACTGGATTAGCTGCTTTGCTTCTCTGACCTTCAGCTTGAAGCTTGAACTGCAATATCAGCCCCTGGGTTTTTTTTTTTTTAATTATCCGTGTTAGAAGGAAAGTGAGAAAATATTTGGTTTTGAAAGTGAATTTTATTAAATGAAGATAATATACGAAATACATTCATCATGACTAGGAAGGTGGGACCAGATCATGTCTTAGTTCTGTCTGTGGCATATCATCTTGGTTCATATAAAAGTTAACTTTAAAATTCCAGTTTCTTTAAATAGTTATGCACAAAACATACAGATACACACACACAAACATACATGTACAGTTCCTGCCACTGTCAGTCAAAAGATGCCCTCTTCCTCCATTGAGTTGATGTCTAGGCAGGGAGCTAGGCACTGCACAAAGACAACAGTTTTTAGGAGTTGAACAGCTCTGTCCCCTGAGTATCTCTCGGGCTAACTTAGGCTTGCCTGGGGTTTCAGCTCCCTGGTTCCACATTGGTGACCTCAAACACTAGGAGAAATGTTTATTCTTCCTTAGTGCCCCCACACCGGCCTTGAACGGCAAACAGTCTTAATGTCACTGTCAGAGTCCTAACATCCAATGCTGTTTTGATGAGTGGGCACCATGCAGCTAAGTATGTGTGTCATTGCAAGTTTCATTTTTCTTCCTGCCTTAACGGCTCAGACGGAACTGTCTGCTTTCTTCCTCTTCGCTGATGGACTTTAGCAGACTCCAAAGCAGAGCCAGAGAATCCCCACAGATTTTCTTTTGTGGGAAAGGGACCTTACTAAAGTCTCTCAATGATTAAGAATTAAATGATTAAAATGAAAATAGTACAGGACTGGCTAAGGTTTTCTTTTTTCACTAATGGCTGAATGTTTAAGTGATGTGAAGATCTGTAGAATGCCTGCATCACTCATTTCTCCGGTGGCCTCTGTCCACTCACCCCACTCTGACACTTGTCAGCTGGCACGAGCTTCTGCAGATGCAAAGATGAAGAACAAAGGGTTCTTCCCCCAGCCCTGCCCTGACTTCCGTTTGTCCAGTTCCTGGTTGAAGCCTTTTTCCTTCTTCTCTATCCTGGCTACTGAGTCCCCCAAGAGCCACCATGGCTGCAGACTGTCTCACTGGGGATTGTTCCGCGCCCCCATTCTCAAGAATGTGGTGCACAGGGGAGCGGGCACACATGCTACTGTTCAGGCCATAGAGCTAAGTGGCAAGCATAAAGGAAGCATGGCCTGCTCTCAAAGGCCGCTGCCCGCTGTCTGCCCCGCTGTGACTGGCTGTAGCGGGTGCACACACCCTAGACACACAGACCATAATCTGCACATACAACACCTAACAGATCCAGGGCTCACAATCTCTAGACACCAAGGAGTGAGTACCCATTTCTACCCTGTCTCCATCATCCTTAGACCCCAAGTAAGGTTCCAAACAGACAAAAATAGAATATTTTTTTCCTTTTGATGGCTCATTGACTAATATCCTGAGTCCCAGCTGAAGAAATAGCTTGCGTAAATTACACATCACCTTCTCTTCCAAGGAGTGTAAAGTGCTTAGTAAACATTGGCCAGTGCTCTTTTACTCTCTCAGATTGGCTTGAGATGGGGAAACCCAGGACGAAGTAAAAGGAAAACAGTGAGGTCCCAACTCTGTGGGTGAATTGGTTTGGCTATTACACATGGAGCGCCCACTCTGCCTTACTGGGTTTTAGTCCGTTAATCCTGGTTTGGGTACAGAGAAAACCGTCTTCTAGGCTCTCACTCTTAACTCTCTCCAGCTTCCTTGAATAGCTAAATGTATGAAACAGGATAATGCAAAAGTGTCCTATCTGTATATGAATACTTGAAATAGAACCTGACTGATTAAAATGTGGCGTTTTAGCACCCTTGCTAGGCCAAAATGGACTGCTTAGCTCCCTGTGAGCAGTATGCTAAGTCACCTCCAAGCTTGGGTCTGATCTCAGTGTCTCTCGCTACAGGAACTGATGGTTAAGTATGGCTTCAGAACCGAGTGCCGCCCTCACTGACCTATGTTAAACATGCTGTGGATGGATGGTAACAGACAACAGAGATAAACTCTCAGGGAAAGACGTAAGATTTTCTGTGGTTCCCAAAAACATCTGTTCTTGTCTCTGAGAATCTAGAAAATGTCCCACACATTCTTCCCTGTCACCTCTTAGTAGGTCAGAAGTGAGAAATCACTGAAGTGGCATTGAGGAGTCAGCCCTCTCCTGCATCGTCTCCACAAGCTATATCCCAAGGCCTTTCCCTATGTACGCCTCTTTTTTCTCTGTTCTCCCTTTCTCTCCTCTGTAAGTGTCTTAATATCTGCCAGGGGACTGCAAAGATACAGCGCCGGCCCATGCATGCCGCTGTGAGCTAAGGGGCCTACTGCGCCTGCTCCCACAGCTGCAGGGAGGGCAGATGGGGCACGAGGACACACAGCGGGTGCCATGGCCAGCAGATGCCCTTTCCAGGGTGTCCTGAGGCTTTGGGAGCTGGAGCAGGTGACTCATTGGGCTTAGAAAGGGTTTCTCTGACACAGGGTCACATGAGGACTTGAGCAGTAGTGTTCCTCACTTGTCACTATCTGGGGGTTACATTCTTGTTAGTCAAAACAGCAACAAAAACGACAAAGAAGCACGATTAAGTCAGGAAAAGCAGCCGGCCCCTGTGCAGAGGAATAGGTGTAAACTCATATATGCATAATACTGTCAGGCTGTCAGCTGTCTGCGTCTTGAGAAGCGCTAGGCGGGTGGGGAGGAGTACAACACCACAGAGTTGTAGTCTGGGGGTGGCGAGCAGCAGGAATCCTTCCCCAGCTCAGAGTCGTCGTCGTCGTGCACGGGCCTGATGTGGCCACAGCTGGAAAAGCAGAAGCTGGGCCTGGGGACGTCAGAAAGCCCCGACTCCTTGCTTTTACTTGTTATTCTCAAGCTAGAGAGAAAGAGAAATGGACAAACAGGGTCGATCAGATGTCTCTGAGATGTTTTCCGGGAAAGGACTATCTTTTCTTAATGGGTCACCTGTCTGTACCTGTTCTACACTCCTGTCTGTCTCTAGTCGAATGCTCTTTGTTCAAAAAGTATGCACTGCCTTCCCCGTGCTGATGTGGTGTCATTGGGTGGAGGGGGCAGACCAGTGACTGGGGGTGGGATGCTGGATGAGATGGTGCAAACCCTGAGAATCTAATCGGAAAACAAGACTTGGCAGTAGCTCTCTTCTGTCTTGGGTCAGACAGCTCCTGTGATCAGCCTGCCCTTCCCTAATATCATCTCAAGTCCTGGGAACCTGTGACTCACCCCACAATTAAAACTGAGGTCTAAAGAGAGGAACTTGTTCTGAATTAGTCAGGTGGGTCCCAGCGCAGTGTGGACACAGAGGCCGGTCATAACCAACCGGAGGGAAGTTCATATGAGAATGGAGTCAGGAGAGACAGCCCCAAGCTGAAGAAAGCATGAAGTTATGGAGGCTGTGAGAGGCCTCGGAGGCACATGCATCCCTGCCAGTGCCTTGGAGATTGGACTTCCAGCCTCTAGAAATAAATTGCTCTATACAGTCACCACATACACGGTCAACGGTCTCAAGAAAAGCAGAGCTGTACACAGAGTCATACAGGTGGCTCCTGAGCATGCAGCCTGGGGGACTATTGTTCTCGGGTACCATATGCTACATGAGTCTAAGATGGACACGGGAGGGAGGGTAGCATCTCCTACCCTTTGCTATTGGATTGAAATCATTGCTTAGCAATGGAGAGAACCATCTGAGCCACATGATGTAGACTGGCCTGGACTGCAGGGTAGGGGATACAAATTAGGGTTTGTCTTTTCTTTATCAAAGATCAAGTAAAAATAACCACTTTCATCCCACGTTCCCCAGGAGGAAACAAAAAAGCAGCTGGCCGACTCTTTGCTTTTGTCCAGTTTGGTGTCCCTTAACCTGTCACCTCAACACTAGGGTCCACTTTTGAGCCCATGTTACAAGGAAAAGGCAGATGTCTGCCTGGACATGTCCTTGTCTCTCCAATGACCTAGTGAACTGTGTGCATCCAATCACCTGGAAGGGTTTGCAGCAGCGTTTTTTTTTTTCTTTTGAGACAGGATTTCTCTCTGTCACAGCCCTAGCCATCCTGTAGACCAGCCTGGCCTGGAACTCAGAGATCTGCCTGCCTCTGCCTCCCAAGTGCTGGGATTAAAAACGAGCTCAATAAAACTACAGCCCATTGACTGGCAATCTGGTTGCTTTTCGTTTTTATGCATATTATGTGTATGGGTGTTTTGCCTGCCTGTGTGTGTGTGTACCACTTGTGGACCTAGCACCTTCAGAGGTGTTAACAGATGACTGCTAGCAAATATGTGAGTGCTGGGAATTGAACTTGGTCCTCTGCAAGAGCAGTCAATGCTCTTAATTGCTGAGACGAATGGGTCCAGCCCTGAGGACAAGGCATTTGAGCCAGGAAAGATAGGTAGGTAGGTAGGTAGGCAGGCAGGCAGGCAGGCGGGCGGGCAGATAGATAGGTAAGCAGGTTGGTAGGTAAGTTGGTAGGTTAGTAGGTAGGTATGTAGGTGGGTAGGTTGGTAAGTAGGTTGGTAGGTAGGCTGATAGGTAGGTAGGTAGGTAGGTAGGTAGGTAGCTTGGCAAGTTGGTAGGTAGGTTGGTTGGTAGGTAGGCTGGTTGGTTGAGAGGTAGGTGGGTAGGTAGGATGGTAGGTAGGTAGGTAGGTAGGTAGGTAGGTTGGCAGGTTGGTAGGTAGGTTGGTAGGTAGGCTGGTTGGTAGGTAGGTAGGTATATAGGTACATAGGTAGGTTAGTAGGTTGGTAGGAAGGTAGGTAGGTGGCCAGGCCTTTCTCAGCACAGCACTATTCCTAGGAGCCTCCAGCCTGGAGAACCACTGAAGTCAGCTCTGCCAGTGGAACAGACAGCAGGAGCACTGAATTCTGCCAGGGGCACAGAACAGAAGGAGGAGCTGACTGACAGATCAAGCCAGGGGTTTGTGGAGAAATTTGCAAATGAGACATGGGTCCAGCAGGATACAGAAAATCCTTATTGTGGGAGTTTGGATTCTCAGTGTGGCAAGCAGGACTTTGCCTCCTTGTATAGACTCTGCTAGCCTATAGACCGGAAACAGGAGTGTTATCTCATGAGCCTGTGAACACATCCCGCCCCCCCTTCACAGCTGGACACATCTGGCTCCTTTCCACCAAAACCCTGTGCTTCTCAGGTTCAGCCTGCCTGCTGCAAAACTTCCCCACATATTTTCCCTCCTTAGGCCACAGACTTCCTTGTCACAGAGCTTGGGGTTCATATGTCCAGTATTTCTGCCCCTTTGGGGGTGGCTGTTTTTCTGCTATGCCTGAACACTAGGAGGCTAGGAAGCCTTAAACAACCCACCAACAAACCGTGGCTCCTGGCATCCTCCTCCATGTCCCGACCCTTACCCCCTCCCCCACCCCCTTCCTTACTCTATCTTCATGGAGGCCTTGGGCTTGCTCTCAGTCCAGGTGAATCGCTTGAGCAGCGGGGAGGCCAGCAGAGTGCTAGTGTCCAGCTGATAATCCTGCAAAAGGAAAGAAGGAAATGACCCGCTCGCCTGGCTCAGAAGGTACCACAGGGACTCTGGGAAGACACAGGGAGGCACCTCTAAGGCTCTGCCTGGTACTGCCCTCATCATCCATAACTCTTGCCCACTGGCACTGAGCACTTTCTTTACCCTGGCAACTGTGAGACCCTTCTTCCTGAAGATGAAGAAACAGGAAACTACTGGGTCTACGGAGATGACTCAGTGGGTAAAGTGCTCGCTGGGCACACACGAGAGCCTCAAAGTTCTCATACAAGTCAGGCTTGGTGGCCCATGCCTGTCACCGTATCCCTGGCAGCGGCAGGTGGCAACAGAGACAGGTAGATTCTGGGGCTTGCTGGCCAGTTAGTTTAGCTCAAACTGTGAGCTCTGGGTTCCTTGAAAGACCCTGTCTTACAAAGACAAACAACCAAAACCCCAGTTAGGTGAACAGTTGAGGGAGACACCCAACTTTGGCCAATGGTCTCCCCACACACATTTCATGGGCAAGCACATATGCACATGTGTACACACACACACACACACACACACAGAGAGAGAGAGAGAGAGAGAGAGAGAGAGAGAGAGAGAGAGAGAGAGAATGGAAAATTGCATGTAACTGCCTAGCATTTTCCACATGAAACTTTCATGCAAATGATCATACATGTTAAAACTAATCTTGAGGGTAGTCTGTGGGTATGTTGTCATACGTAAAATTTCTAGGAAATTAGAGAGGTGGTTGGTTAGCTATCTTTCTTGGAGAGTCTATTGAAAGGGTTAGGCATTATGCTGGCCTGCCCCTGTTACCTGGCAGAATACACTCAGGCAGTTCTCTGGCCAGCCCAGGGTTCCATGAGAACTGGTCTGCACGTAGGTGAAAAGGACCCCTTAAAAAGACAGACCCCTGCCCTCTTATACTCTCTTACCTTCCTCTTCTCTTCCTATCACTTACTGTCTCTCTGTGTCATGTCTGTCTCCCCCCTTTCGATCTCGCTATAATAAACTATGGTTAATGTGCTCTCCATGGCTTGTGCTATTTTGTGCTCACGCTTGTATTTCACCTTTCACCCCCTTCCACCTTCTAATTTCTAATCTTAAGCAAAATAACAACATCTATGGCATTGGCGGGTCCCCAGTGGCCATAGTGCCCAGGAACTGCTGCAGTTCAGTCATCTTCATCATAGGATTGTCTATGCACTCTTCATTACTCTGTCACTACGGTGTGATGTCCTGTTAACGGGAAGTGGACTCCATACTTTGTCCAGCTCCCTCTGAGGCTCTACTGGGCTGTGTAAACTCCAGTGAGGACCCAAGCAGGTGAAGATGCTGCTGTCATTCGCCAAGTTTTTAGGGTAGCCTAAGCCTGAGAAATCCCCAGGTTTGCTCAGTGTGGTTCCTTCCTGGCACTTGAGACACCCAACTGAGCCACAACACAAAATTTCTATCTACTTTATCATGGCATTCTACAGCTTAACGTGGAAATGTGTTTATATTTTGAAGTTACCATGTCCCTTTATCTTGTGTGTCTATGAGGGTCAGGCCTTTGCTTGCTTATTAAAAACATATATTTATTTTATATGTGTGGGCATTTTTTCCTGCATGTATGTGTACCACATGCAAACCTGGAACCCAAGAAAACAGCTTCAGGTCTCCTGTGACTAGCGGTACAGACAGATGATTGTCAGCCACCATGTGGGTCCTTGGGACCAAACTGGGACCTTCTGGAAGAACAACTGGTTCTCCTAACTGCTGTGCTGACTGTCCATCCCCAGCATCAAGATTTCTACTCTTTTGTTGTTGTTCTTGTTGTTTGTTTGTTTGTTTTTGTTGTTCAAGACAGGGTTTCTCTGCAGACCAGGCTGGCCTCGAACTCACAGAGATCCACCTGCCTCTGCCTCCCGAGTGCTGGGATTAAAAGGTGTGTGCCGCCACTGCCACTACCACCGCCGCCGCCACCACCACCACCACTACCACCACCTGGTTTGGTTTCTACTATTGAATTATCGCATTGTGTTTGTCTCAGGAACCCACTTGGGGCACAACAGTCAGCCATACCAGAAGAGCACTCCTGCTCAGCCTTCCTCCAACTTCTTAGTCTCCCAGTCCCATGAAAAGCTTTTCCAGACACTTGCTGACAGAAGCCCCTGGTTTGTCAGGCTACTCTGGTATGCTTTGGCCAGTGTGTCTCGGTGGGAACATGGCTACTCAGCTGTAGAGCCTTGATGAAGGGGTCTGGGGTCTACGTGGACTTTCTTCAGATGTTGTACACTAGAGCACAAGGCCTCTGCTGCATCCCAAGGCCCAGCCACTCTCATCTCATCCTCTCAAGGGAGGGTGCTCTGCTGAGAGCTTGCAAGAGATCCTAGGGATATACACTTCCCCTCCCAGGAGCTGTTGGACTAGAACAGACCCCGGAGTGAGCTCCAGATCTGCAAACCATGGAATTTTCCCTCAAGTCGGCTCTGCACAGTGAAGTCTGACTGTCTGTTCTTCCTCCATGTTGTAATCTTGGCCTCTATCGATCGATCACTGGCCCTTCTGGCCAAGCACTGCTGGGCAGGGTGCTTAGACAAGAAGAGATCTCTGGCAGAGAGCACTGGGTGCTACTGTCACGACTTACTTTAAACATGGAGGTGGCATTTGGCGAAAGCTCCTCAAAGGTCTTGATTCTCTCCAGGCTCATGAATTTGAAAGCATTTACATATCTGATGAAGAAGTAGAAAGAGTCATCAAGGCAGGAAAGCTATGGAATTTGGGTAGATCCCACCTAACAACACAAATACTTGATGGCTCAGTTTCCTTGGTACCCTCTAGGAATCCTCACAGTGATGTCACTTCCTCTGTGTAGTCAATCCACACTTAATTTGTAGTCTTCAGAAAATCCAGTTCCTCACGGAATCAAAAAAAATGCTAGTCTTAGAGGCAACGTGAGACCTCATCTGCCCAAGTGTCTTAGAGACACAAGAGACCAATGCCCCAGGAGGCAGTATGACTTCCTCTTATCACTTACTGCTGTCTACCTCCTAAAAGGGTCTGGGGTGACAAATCAAATATCCCATTGAGACTTCATAGCTGATTTAAGAGTACTACTGAGGCGAGAGGCCACACTGTACATTCTGGGCCGTAACTGGGACAAATGAGTGATGTTTGCAAGATATCTCAGTGACCACCTGCCAATTTCCATTGATATATTGGAAAGACCTGATGGGATATCACATTGGATGGCTACTCAGAGGCAAACCCACTCGCCAACTAGACCATTGTCTGAGAGTTTTAGTGGCTGCAAGGCCCAAGCTCTCAGGCTATATTCCTACTGGGTCTCTGGCTGAACAACATACTAGAAAGACTGAAATTAGCGTCACACCCTCAGCCCATTTGTACCCCAGCCAGGCTTTATCATTTAAAAGGAGATGACTGGCTGGGTGTTGGGTATGAGCAGTGACATCAACCTATCATCCTCACAGCTCTGGGCTATCGTAGATGGCTGTCGGCGTTTTCCAACTGGTACATCTCTATCCTGCGCTTCCCTGGTAGTGGGACCAAGGTCAAGCCTGAAGGGTATACCCACATAGCTAAAGGCTCTAGCAGGCTCTAAAAGGACCCCAGCCACATTAGGAGCCTGAACAGTGGGTCAGTCTTCCTAGGTTACAAACTCAGTTCTGATATTTGAGAGTCACACATTTTGCTAAGTTCTCATCTCTCCAGTTGACAGGTTCCTATTTATCAAACAGAGAGATATGTACTTGGTAGGATGGTTTTGTACATGAAAGTTGTTGATATGTACAAAATGCCAACACAACACCAGATCAGAGCACGGGGACCAACACACATTCCATATGTTGTAACTACCCATATTGGCGAGCACACCTTCTCAGTAATTATTTTTTTTAGCTTCTGCCCAGTTTCCTCTACTGTAATGCAAGATGTAAAGGTTTGTTAGGTGAAGATATAAAATAAAAAGAGAAAACTGGTTTTGTTTTGTTGGGGTTGTTTATTTATTTGAGAAAGGGTTTCTCTGTCTGAAACGTACTCTGAAGACCAGGCTGATCTCAAACTCACAGAGATCCGCCTACCTCTGCCTCCCAAGTGCTGGGATCAAAGGCGTGTGCCACCACCACCCAGTAGTTTTATATAACTTTTCTTCTTCTTGGTTATTCTTGTTTTTGAAACATCACTTCTCTATGTAACCCGGGTTGGCTTTAAACTTGTATCCTCCTGCCTCAGCCTCCTGAATTATGGGATTACAGTCCTGTGCTATTATTCTTGGTTAGTTTAATTTATGTAAGGTTTAACCAAAGTTAATGTCATGAAAATCAGGCTACAGTGCTAGAATAAGATAAGGTAACTTGAGAAAACACAATGCCTTGTTCATTCCTTTAGAAGTTTAGGGGAAAAAAAGGAAAATATGTAGGCCTCCAACTTACAGAACATACAGATAAAACATGACAGAATGTTAACAATGGTTGGATTCAGAAATAGATACCAATTCTTTCTTTTCTCTATTGCCTCCTTTCCTTCCTCCATCCTCCCCCTTCCTCCCTTATCCCCTCTTCTTCCCCTAGGAAAACTGGGTAGCAGAATCTCACCTCACATCATCAGAGCTTCCAGAATGAAACGGTGGAGCTGTAAAACCATCCTTGAAAAAGTCCTCAGAGAAGGTGGGGACTGAGTACGTGAAGCCACTGTTTCTTGTCAGTATGGCATTGATCGGGATGTAGTCTTTACCATCCTAAATACCAGAGATAGACTAATCACAGAAGTGTCTCCTTCAAGGACACACACATACTCTCATGGACACACTCGAGCGCGCTTGCGCGCGCTCGCACGCACACGCACACACACAAACACACACCACTTTTTATTGCTGTTCTTTCCAGTTCTATTAGAAATGCACAGACCTTCTGGTCTAAACTTTACCTGTTGGACGTTGGCTTGAAGCAGGTCACCTAGTTTCTCCACAAGTTCTGCAAACCGGGGCCTCTCTTTGGGGTCTTTGTGCCAGCAATCCAACATGATTTGGTAGCTGTTGATCAGAAGCACACAGAGAGAGCTGGACAACAGTGGGGTTTATACAGCCCGCCCTGCACATTCTCAAGTGAGGGTTGTTGGTTTGCATCTCAGACCATGCTTTTTGTAATGTGTGACATGGCTTCAGTTTTTGGTTTGTAACGTCAGTGCCTGGGGTCACGCACATGTCTGCTGAGGCAGACTGACAGACCAACCCTCCTGAACACCTGACCCACCTTCCTTAGGTGCCAGGACCGAGTCTTGCAGATCAATGAAGGGGACTGAGATAGGAAAGTGGTTGTGCTCTGTGCAGTTGGGTGTGAGTGGAGCAACCCTACTATCTCAAGACGATGTCCCCAAAGCTAAAGTCACAGCCTGACCAGCGAGTAGCTAGCAATGCCCACTTCATTCTTTTTTTTTTTTTAAGACAGGGCTTCTTTCTATAGTCTTGGTTTTCCTGGAACTCACTCTGTAGACCAGGATGGCCTTGAACTCACAGAGATTCACCTGCCTCTGCCTCCCAAGTCCTGGGATTAAAGGTGTGTGCCGCCTCTGCCACCCACTTAATTCTTGAGTTATAATGAAGGTTGGTCCCACTTGGGTTCTCTGTAAGCACCTGACATCTTCACATCCTAACACTTCCTTAGGCAGGGCCTCATTTCCTTGGGAAAAATCCTTACACTTCCTTGGGAAGGACTGCAGACTTCCTTGGGATGGTCCTTAGATTCTTGGAAGGACTCCCACACTTCTTGGGTAGGGTCTGCAGTGGAGGCTAACGGAAAAGGCACCAGTTCCATGACATAGGTCATTTCCAAAGTAGGTGGCTAGACAGTAGAGGCCAATAGTTCCTCAGGGTGTGTGCAAGGTTCCCATGTGTGGTGGCTTAGTTTTTGCCCAAAATTTCAAAGCCTCAATTACAAAATAGTTTCTCAACACTAAGACAAAAATGGGTGCGGTTTCTGGGTTGGAAACATGGGTCTTAATATCATAGAGGCCAAATCTTGTCCTCAGGTTCCTATGTCAGCAAGTTCTTTTGCATTTTGTTTTCTTCTTATATTTTAGCTTTATTGCTCTTGGTCATGTAAACTTATTGTAAGTCTGCATGGACTCCCTGTGCAGAGCCCATGCTAGGAATCCCAGCACACACTGAGCCAAGTGTTCTCCTGTGCTCTCCCAGAGATTTTTCTTTTCATCATCTCTTCTTTCTGAGGAGCCTTTGGAGCAGAGCAGATTCTGACTACATCAGATCAAAATCTGAATGGGCTGGGACTTGAGAACGAGGTCTGCATTAGCTTGTGCGGCCTGGGACTTCATCTCCACTCTCTGTACCCAGTGGCGTACCCAGGTGTGTGCCACCACCGCCTGGTGCAGCTGTTTTGACATTTTTCCAGTTCAGATCAGATCTGCCCTACCTACTCCTCAAGATCACGGGAAGTCTACGGGAGACTATCTGGGGAAAGCATCTATCAAGTACAGACTGGCCTTATTTTAGCCTCTTCGGCAGTGGTGAAGGGTCCCAGCAAGTCTGTACCCTCTCTGCAGCCTAGGGGGCGCCTTGGGCCAGTCTATCCCTTATACTTCCCTGAAGAGGACACCAATCAACATTAATAGAGTCCCCTGTGTCTTCCCTGGCTTCACCTCTGAGTCCTTGGTCTCTCGCATCCAGTTCCCTGGCTTGGCAATGACCTAGCTTGGTCCTTAGATAATGAAGGAAAGAGACGGTGACCTTGCCCTTTGGGCAAGCCCACACTTCCTTCTCAGTCCTTGACTCCTCCCCAAAGGCCAGCCCAGGGCTCCACAGGACCTCATTGTGTGGGTGGGGAGGGGAGGCCGCCTGCCAGCTCAGGAAAGGTGGCGCCACCTCAGGGAGGCCCAAGTCCTTGTCAGCAGCTTGCCCAAACTGCAAGTGTCATCACATTCCTGCGGAGGCCTCAGAGTGCTAAAATGGCACAGTTACAGGAAATGGTACCCACACGAGTCAAGCTCACCCACTGACAATGGAGAAGCCTGCCCAGAGCCTCTCTGACTCCCAAACAACCTCCCATTGATCAAGAGCTCTGACAGCTGCCTGGCTAGTCCTAATGGGTTCTAAAGAGGCCTCGCTACCCCACATTTTCTTTCTTTATCAATTTATTTCTGAGCTTTTGGAAACAGGTTCTCAAGTAGCTCAGACCAGCCTTGATCTTTATATGTAGCTGAAAATGACCCTAAATTCTGGATACTGCTGCTTCCACTCCCAGGGTGCTATGATGAAACACAGTATATGCATTGTTGGGGATGGACCCAGGACCTCGTGCATGCTGGGCAAACACTACTAAGGTGGCCGAGCCAAGCCCCACCCAGTACAAATCAAGTTTCCAGTCCCCATGGCTGTGCAGATGGAAGTCTGGGCTGCAAAGGCAGCCGCCTTGACCTGAGGCGGTGAGTGAAGCCTTGCACTCAGTTCCTAGGTGCTATTCGTTTTGCCCGCCTTCCTGACTTCAGTTCCAAGCTAAAGTCCTTGCAAGGCCAATCAGTGGGTGGGAGAGGAAACAGGGACAGATCCAGAGCACAGCCAGTTCAGGAAGTCACTCCCAGCATAACAGAGCCCACCAGAGGCTGGGGCAACATCCCTGAAGAGCTGAAAACAAATCTGTGTCCCTTACCCACCAGCCCAGGGTCCCTGTGTCCCTTACCCACCAGCCCAGGGTCCCTGTGTCCCTTACCCACCAGCCCAGGGTCCTGTGTCCCCTACCCACCACCCCAGGGTCCTGTGCCCCACACCTACCAGCCCAGGGTCCCTGTGTCCCTTACCCACCAGCCCAGGGTCTCTGTGTCCCCTACCCACCAGCCCAGGGTCCCTGCGTCCCCTACCCACCAGCCCAGGGTCTCTGTGTCCCTTACCCACCAGCCCAGGGTCCCTGCATCCCCTACCCACCACCCCAGGGTCTCTGTGTCCCTTACCCACCAGCCCAGGGTCCTGTGTCCCCTACCCACCACCCCAGGGTCCTGTGTCCCCTACCCACCACCCCAGGTTCCCTGATGAGAACTCGGTGAGCATAGGATAAAGCCTGGAACTCACATTTCAGGCGTCGCATACTCTGGTGCCCTCATTCTCATGCCTTCCTTCAGGCGGCTGCAGAAGTCTTCATCCATCTGTACTCCTGGGTATGGAGAACCTCCTGCAGGGGGCAGTGTGGAAAACATGCGTGTTAAGGTTTCTGGTACAAAATACCATGCGGTGGAGGTGCATGGTGGGGCACACTTTAAATTCCAGCACTTGGGAGGCGGAGGTGCATGGATCTCTGAGTTTAAGGCCTGCCAGGACTACAGAGTGAGACCCTGTCTCAGGTAAACAAACGAGCGAACAAACCTACCCTAAAGACCATGAGGGGCAAAGAGTTTCCCTCATTTCTTCAAAGTGATGTTTTAGCCAGGAATGGTAGGTGGTCCATGTTGTAATCCCAGTTCTTGGGAGGGAGGCTAAGGCAAGATCATTAGGTTCAGGCCAATGTGAGCTATCTAGTGACACCCTATCTCAAAAACCCCAAATACAGTGATGCTTCAGTGACAGATTCCCAGCGACTAAGGTGAACACAGGTGTTGGACAGGTACTTCCTGAGGCCACATCCTTGGCTGATTCATGCCGTCTGTGTGGTCACACGCCTGTTTGGTCAGGGAAGGGGCAATCTGAAGTGTCCCTGTCCTGGCCCCACGGACAACTTAAAAGACATCTAACCCTTAGGCACTCGTGTTGTGGGTTAGTCACCTATCTTTGGAAAACCAATGGACAACTGGGTGGTGGTGGCGCACGCCTTTAATCCCAGCACTTGGAGGTAGAGGCAGGTGGATCTCTGTGAGTTCAAGGCCAGCCTGGTCTACAGAGAGAGTTCCAGGACAGCCAAAGCTACACAAAAAAACCCTGTTTTGAGAAACAAGACAAAACAAAAAAAGGAAACAAATGGATTTGGGCCACTCCAACTTCCCAGAAAATGTCTTCCACTCCAAGTCTTTGGGAATGAGGGATTCTGACAAGTCTAAAGGATAGAGCCTTGGGTTCCAGGGTGGATGGGGGCTGCTAGGGGTGCCAGGGGCACTGGGCTGTCTTTGCCAGCGCCTGTAGCCAATCCTCTGTGGGTAGCCTGAGCTAGGTAAGGTAGACAATGCACTGCAGGATGCTTAGCCCTGCAGCCAAGGCCACCCCAGCGTGTGTGTGTCTGCACTTTCTAGTGATCGCTGCTGGTAGGAAGCAGCTGGGAGACATGCGGGGCTTGGCACTGTGTCACTGCAAGGCCATTGTAGCCACTGAGCTGCTTTCCAGGAGTGGAAGCAACAGGTGCCTGTCCTCGAAAGCAGGGGATGATCTGGACACATTACAGGAACCTCGGGTTGTTACTGTGGGAGACAAAGCGTGAAGATTCTTGGCAAATCCTCACACTTGGGAGACCTCATAGCATTTTGTATTTGTGTGAGCAGCTGCAGGGCCTATGCACATCTGTAGGAATGAGGCTCTGAAAAAGGTTTCTAACTCAGAGGAGATGGGCATTGGCTACTCTTGTAGAGGACCTAGACTCAATCTCCAGCCCCACATCCCTCCCGGTTCAGAGGATGTGATGTCCTCTCCAGGCCTTCTTTCTCAGGCACTGCATGCATATACTGCATATACCTAACATAGTGCAAGCACACACACACACACACACACACACACACACACACACACACACACACACACACACACACCAAAGGCAGAGGCAGGCGGTTCTCTGTGAGTTTGAGACCAGCCTGGTCTACAAGAGCTAGTTCCAGGACGGCTTCCAAAGCCACAGAGAAACCCTGTCTCGAAAACCAAAACCAAACAAACAAATAAGCCTGTAGTGGATAGTTCTGAGCAAACCTAGCTAGAAAAAAACCTAATCAGAACTTTTTATTGCTTGTCTGCATAAGCTAGTGTGCAAAGTTATTCCAGGTGTTAGAATCAAAGGCATTAGATCAAGGCCAGTTGCCTCTAATGATGCCTGCTAGTGGTCCAGCTGTGTACATCAAGGCCTTTCCCGAGAAGAAATTCTAAGCAGGTGGATGTGTGGAGGAAAGGGGTGAAGCCATGAGGGCTGGTATTGCAGAAACTGGAGAAGGGAGCAAAGGACAGACAGTTGCAACCCCTCCCTTCTCCACATTTACCTAAGGAGAAGATTTCCCATAACAACACTCCATAGGACCACACGTCGCTCTTGGTGCTGTAGATCTTGTCAAAGATGGATTCAGGAGCCATCCACTTCAGGGGAAGTCGAGTCTGGAAGAGGGCAAGGGGCCTTGAGCATGAAATCAAAGCACTGTCTGCACCCAGGGCCCAGGAGTCCCTTCCACTTAACATGTTTGCAGAACCAGAGCAGCTGTGATTTCCTACACCATAAAAAACCATAGGGCATGTGACATGTTGCTAAGAGCAAGCATTAGAGGCTACACTGTCTCTGAGGACCAGGCATAGCAGGTAGACTTTTCTGCTGCACCCAGCAGGTCCTTGTTCCATGGATCTTAAAGAAGCTGTGCTGTCATGATCCCTTCCTCACCTACACAGGGACTTGGTAAAGTGGTCTGAATTAGGAAACACCCTGAAAATTGATGGCAAGTCCTATGAATTTTTCTGAGAAGGGATTTTGAAAGACATCCCTATGTAAAAAGATGGTATGTTAAGTCTTGAGCTGAGGCTAGGTGTGTCTCAGGAGTGGACTGTGTGCTTGATATGTAAGAGGCCCTGGCTTCAGTCTCCATTCAGTCTCCCACATCCCTTGGAAAGAAGAAAGATGGTTTTGTATTGAAGTGTTTTCCATTTAGGAGAATATATGGCTGGATTTCAAGCATGCAGACCAGTCCTTCTCTTTCACACAGCAGGGACAACAGTGAGTTAGCTGGGAGTTGGGATGCTGGGCGTTAACAAGATGTCCAGAACAGTGGGGAGACAAAGACTGTGGAGAAACACAGAGATGCTGAATCAGGGACAGCAGAGGGTCAACCTGAAATGCAGGCAGAAACTGCAAGCCAGCATTCTACTGAAAGCTGGACCCGCTTCGAAAAAAAGTGACTGTGGGCTGGAGAGATGGCTCAGCAGTTAAGCTCACCAGCTGTTTTTCCAGAGGACCTGGTTCAATTCCCAGCACCCACACGGTGACTCACAACAATGTGTACCTCCAGTACCAGGGTACCTCTTCTGGACTCCTCAGGCACTGCATGCATGTGGTGCACAGACATACATTCAGGTAGACCACCCATACTTATAAAATAAAATTAAAGTTAAAAGCAACAACAAAACAAAGAAAGAGTGACTAAGAAGGTGTTCTGAAAGTGTTGTCTGGGGGCATCCACACACCATGGTCCAGAAGCTTGTTGAAAATGCAGATTCCAAGCAATCTCCCACCACCCCTCCCCAGACATTCTGCATCAAGGGGTATGGGGAGAGGATGTCAAGCCGTGGCTCAGAAGGCTGCTGGGTGGTGTGAATATTTCCGCAGTCTGAGAGCTTCTGCTGCAGAACAATCCAGAGAGCCAGTCACAAGCTGAAGCCCTTCTGGCAGAGGCCAGACAAGACAGGACACCAGAGGTCACCCGGTAAGTGACAAATAACATTATGTTCAAAAACAAATGGGGAAGGGAGGCCAGTGAGAGCCAGAAGGGAGATGGGTCCCACAAAAGGCATCCCTGGGGGTAGGCAGCTTCCTCCCTTCAAGATAGCGCACCCCCTCCCCCCACTTTTCCCGGAGGTACAGCCACCTGCTGAATCAATCATTTGGGTTTATCTGAGGGGAAGAGGCCACACTGTTCTTTCCAGTGTGACATGAAACTCCCCTAGGGGTGGCAGGCAAGGACTGATGTGGCTCTCCAGGGCCCAGCACGCTGCTTAGGCTAACAAGCCTCGTGCGGTCCTCCTCTAAGTCCAGGTCCCCAGCCAGGGCTCAGAGACGACAGCAGACACCACCACAAAGGTTCTCGGGGACACAGCTGCTCTGGACCACCACATGAGAATTTGGGGGGATGACTGCCTGGGAGGTGACAGGGCAGAAACGAATCAAATATACACCAGGCTGACTTACATCGCCTTTTCTCACATAGTCGGGGTTCTTATAAATATCCCGGGCCAGGCCAAAGTCGCAAATCTTCACAACATTGTTCTCAGATAAAAGGATGTTTCGTGCTGCCAGGTCTCGATGAATGCACTATAATAAAACAGTTATGTAATGAACCCACTTCCTTAATCCAGCTGCTTAATTTCCTGTATCCACTCTGGGTCATAATTCTTTTTTTTTTTAAAGCGTGTGTGTGTGTGTGTGTGTGTGTGTGTGTGTACTCGTGTAAGCATGCATGTAGAGGACAACTGTGGAAGTCAATTCTCTCCCAGGGTTGAGTTTAGGCCATCAAGTTTGTCAGCAAGGTCCTTTACCAGCTGAGCCATCTCACTGGCCCTAGTGTCATCGTCCTTAATTCTAAGTTCCATTTCATACGTGGGAAAGGAAGACACTCCCAGCACACACCCAGTCGCCATTAAACACGGTGCAAGCAGAGTACAGGAGGCCCCAAAGAGAGGTTCTAAATAGGCAAGGCTCCTGTTCCGCGGGAGTGTACTGGTCAACCCACTGACAGTCTGAATTACTCCAGCGAGTAAGATTTCCCCACAACCTTTTAGATCAGGTCTTTGGGAGCTTCGGATCAGTGTGATTTGTTTGCTGCTGCTGCTGTCTTTAAAACAGAATTCTGAGCTGGCTGTGAGCTCAGGAGGCAGAGGCAGAGGGATCACTGAAGCAAGTTCCAGGATAACCAGAGCTGCACAGAGCCCTGCTGTGTAATGACATTGACCCTGAACTCAGCTGGGTTGGTGTACCAGGGATGCTCCTGCCTCTCAGCCTCCCGAGTGCTGGGATAGCCACAGCTGGGCTTGAGCTGAGGGTTTTTTTGGAGAAGACCCATGTGGGTGTACTGGAACAGCATCTTTGTGAAGCCTGGACAGTTTGGAAATGTAACAGACTCTGTTGAAGATGGTGCTGGGTTTGAGTAGTTCAAACATCCAGGAAGATCTTCTTCCCTTAAATTAAATTCTACCCTCTGGGGCCTAGGTTCCACACCCATACCTCTTCACATCAGAACAAATCAAGGCCATTGTGGTGGTGTCTACTGTACAGTCAAGAATATAAGTATAAACAAATACTAGAAAGACAGCTTCCCAGCAGAGGCCTCACTGAGACAAAATGTAGAAGAATGAATTTTCAAAGTTTTCACAGTAAAGTTGTGAAATATTTAACCTGATTTAGAGATTACCCAACATATGCATGTGTTAAAACTTGAATCATTAATACACATTAATTAGCATATGTGATTTACATGTTTATATGTACCAGTTACATTGAAATGAAAGTGGGGAACAGGCAAGAAAAACAAGAGGCAAATGTGCATTCTTCCAGGCAGGTTCTAAGTTTGATAACATAGACGAAAATAAGATTTTAAATGTAAAGCAAAAGCTTCTGAAATCTCAAAACCTCTCCCTATCTCCGATTAAGAAAGTTAAAGAAAGCAGAAAAAACTGTAAAGAGCCGAGCTGACCTTTCTGGAGGACAGAAACTCCATGCCTCTGGCCACTTGGAAACTGTAGGAAATCAGATCTTCCATGGTGAGGGGCTGCTTGGAGATCTCACCACAATCTAGCAAGAGTTAGAATCTTGTCAAGACTTTCGGGACTGTGGCAAATCCCAGTTTAATAAGACAATAGTCACAAAACATAAAACAAACCAACAAGGGCACCAAGGTTCATTTGCAAGAGAATGTGAATCTCAACATGAACCTCAGAGATTTTTTCCAGACTGTGGGGGTGGGGGTGAAGGGTAGGGGGACAGGGGTTGGGTGAGAATGGGTGACCTGGTAAGACAGAAAGTCCCAAGCAGAGAGAAGGGAACAGTTCTTATCATAGTTAGCAACGCTGTAAATAATCTTTATTTAAATCTTGTCTCTCTAGGACATTACCCTCACTCCCAGGTTGTTTATTGGGGTAATAAATAAGAAAAATGTGTGAGATGCCCAGTATATTGTAAGAGTACCCAGATGGAGGCCAGGAAGGAAGGAATGCCTACCCTCATCTTCTTCAGGGTCGCTCACACTTTTGTCTTCCTGAAAGCCTGAACTGGCGAAACTTTCGCTGCTGTCCACGCTGTCAAGTCTGGGTTTCTGGTCCTGTTCCAGGCCTGGCTCCAGGTTTTCTTTCTTGGGCTCTGTATGTAAGGCCGCTTCCTTAGAACAGACAAGAAACAGGGACGTGAGAGAGGCCCAACGAGGATCGGGGAGCCACGGCACAGGGTGGTGGCACTGGCTCCTGAGGATATCCCAGGTTGGAGACCCTCTTGTGCCCTTGCTTGAGCTCCTAGAAAACACCTTAAGTCAACTGAAAGAGATTCCTAGCAGCTGATAAATATCAAGCATTTAGTGTGACTATTGTATATATTCTCTATTTTCCCAAGAGTTTATGTTGTGAAACAATTGTGTGTGTGTGTGTGTTTTAAAGAGATTTATTTTATTTTTATTTTTGTGCATATTCATTCAGGCGTCCACAGAAGTTAGACAACGTCACTGGGGTCATAGTAGGTTGTAAGCCACCCAATATGGGTGCTGGGAACCGAACTCCAGTTCTCTGCAAGAGCAGCAAGTGCTCTTAACTATTTAGTCGTCTCTCTCACTCTTAAACAATTGGACACAAAGCAGGTTCTGAAGAGTTGTGTCACCAAAGCCACACCTACTAATTGGCAAAGCCAGACATGCAGTTTGACAAACTCCCAAGTCTGTGTTCTCCACTGCTTTTCATGGTACATGCCATCTTGCTTGAAAGGCCACATAGACCTTCAAGATTTGTCACTCAATGGTGTGAAAAGAGCTGCCTCTAACCCCTGTGGAGGCTCAGGTTACCAGTTCTTCTGGTTTCTTGGGGAGAGGGGAGAAGATGCACTTTTCTCTGGGTTTCCCTTTCATTCAAGACCAACCAATCCACCCTAAGGAAGAGCAAAGGCCACTCCCTCTGGACATCAGAGTCTTGGTGCTTTTCTTCTGCCTTCTCTAACTACTCTCCTTGCTTTTCTATTAATCATTTTTCTGAGTTTCATTTTTGTAGCACGGATTCTAATTGTTCTTTTTAAAAAATTTATTATGTATACAGTGTTCTGCCTGCACCCCAGAAGAAGGCACCAGATCTCATTATGGATGGTTGTGAGCCACCATGTGGTTGCTGGGAATTGAACTCAGGACCTCTGGAAGAGCAACCAGTGCTCTTAACCACTGAACCATCTCTCCAGCCTCTTTAATTGTTCTTAGTAATAAAAACTCAGAGTCAGGTATTGGGTTTAAAGTTGAAAATCAGAGAAGCAAAGCGGCCAGCCACTAGAGAGTTCTTACCTCTACCAATGTTCAGACCAAAGAGGTGATCCTGCCCTCTGACTGCATCTTCAGATTGCTTAGACTGCCCTACTCCTCAGACCACACTGAGCTCGTCTCCTCCTGCCTTATATTCCTCTCTCCACCCAGCCATATTAGTCCTGTCTCCACCTCCCTAGTGCTGGGATTAAAGGGGTCTCATTCCAAGTACTGAAATCACCTTTGTGTGAGCTCTGTTTCTCTTTTAGACAGATTCAACCTCTTGTAGTCCAGGGTGGACAAGAGATCCATTCGCCTCTGTCTCCCGAGTTCTGGAATTAAAGGTGTGTGCCACCACTGCCTGGCCTCTATGGCTAACTGGTGTGGCTAGCCTGATCTTCAGACAAGTTTTATTTGTAAGATTATAAACAAAATATCATCATACATTTTCCTCATCTAAAAGACGCTATCTTATGTTTTGTGACTCATAGGAAAGGACTTACATGGTCTAGTGTTTTGCCTTCAATAATTCATCTACTACTTGACACTTGAAACACATCCTGTCCAGTGGCTTTCTCTGTACCATGTCTGCAGCCTAGGTTCTGCTAGATGGCAATGTCTAGACAGGGGCTGGGAAGGAATGAGGTTCAGGGGCATGGCAGCTCTAGGATTAACCAGCCTGTTCATCCTGCCTTGAGTTTTCTAGATATGTCTCAGTAGTGGGAGCGGTCTCTCCACTAGAGGGCACAGAGAGCAAGCAGACTTTAGGAGGGACAGCTCCAACGCTGAGATACAAGGGACAGAAAAGAGACTATCCTGGGAGCACACCCCACCCTGTCAGGTCCTTGGAAGGAGTTTTGCTATCTCAGCTCTTCTCAAACTTTGTCTGGAATTTCAGGCCTGGAGAGTATTTGCCCAGCCCAGACACCTTTTCCTCAGGGCAGGTAAAAAACAAACACACACACACACACACACACACACACAAACAAAGAGAACATAATTTTTTTTTTCATGAGGTCATTAGCTTGCTCAGATGTAGACTAGAATTTTATATTCTGGAAACCTACCGCCTCTTTCCTCATACCTCCCAGAAGCCAAAACATGGAAGCTGTCCCCAAGTCACCCTACCCTTCCTCTGACCCCTAATCAAAGGTATACTCAGTTAATTTAGTGGACTTTTGGGATCCTGCCAAAAGAGTGGATTTGCTACAAAGCATATTTAAGAATCTTGACAAACTTGGGAAATAATAGAACATGTTTTCAATTTTGTCTTTTGGGCTGCTCCGTTGTCTGTCTGTCTGTCACTCTTTATTCCTTTAGACTCCAAATGTGACAGACAGTCATAAGTTTTCCACAAAACACAGCTCCACCAAGTACCACGGGGAGGCAATCATTAAATATAGCCCCAAAAGGAAGCAAGCTCTTCCAAACAAAGGATGCACAAACCCAAACGTTCCATCCTGCCAGGTCCCTGGGGGTGTTCTGAGGGCTAAGAGCTTCCTGAACCCAGTCTAGGACATCAGGACTGACAAGGATCTGCGCTGCTCTTGACTCAGGGCATCCAACACCACGACCCTTGGTTAGTGTGGCTCACAGGAAAAGCTCTAAGACAGGGGCTGAGTTGAGACAGGTCTTTCTCCCATCTTCATCTTGTGGTTACTATGTCCTTAAGTTAGTTTCTTTATTATATGATTATATATTTATTTGTGTTTGTTTGTGTGCTTGGTTAAAAATGGGAAATACAGTTTAAAAAAAAGTGGTGGTGGTGCATGCCTTTAATTCCAGCACCCCGAAGGCAGAGACAAGTGGATCTCTATGAATAACTCATAGAGTTCCAGGCTATGTAGACAGCCTGGTCTACATAGAGAGTTCCTGGATGGCCAGAGATACACTGTCTCAAAAAGGAGGGCAGGTATGTAATATATTCTCAATGCTTTGGTGGAGCACCTATGTCTTTGATAAAAGCATAGTCTGGGATAAAAGAATGGGTCAGCTTTCCAGTGCTTTGCTTTTGTTTTTTGTTTTTTTGTTTGTTTGCTTTTGTTTGTGAAGGGTCTCTTTCCATATATGTATATACTTATTTGCTTATTTAAATTATGTGTACACGTGTGTGTTTGGGTATGTGCACAGGAGCACAGATACTCCCAGAGAGCAGAGATAACAGATCCCCTGGAGCTAGAGTTATAGACAGTTGCAAGCTATCTGATGTGGATGCTGGGAACTGAACTCTGGAACTTTGGAAGAGCAGCAAGACCTCTTAACTGCTGAGCCATCTCTCCAGTCCTGGTCTCATGCTATTTTCCAGGCTGATCTCAAACACATGGCTCACACAGTCCTCCCATCTCGGCCTCAGGAGTAGCTGGGATTGCAAGTATATACCACAACACCTGGCTGTATCCTGTGGTTCAATTATGTACAAAGACTCTCCCCTACATGGCAGAGATGGGCACATCTTAGAAGTCTGAAGGTTCATCTGCCATGTAGCTGAATTCTCTGTGTCTGTCTCTGTGTCACCTTCTCTATCTCTGGCTCTCTCAGTCTGTTTTTCCAGTGCAGGTGAGGGGATGGATACAGGGCCTCACACAAATAGGCGGGCACCCTCCCACTGAGCTACAACATCCTTCAACATCCCAGTGGATCAAAGATGACGAAAGGTGACAACTAATCACTTAAGGGAAGAGTTTCGTTTTCCCAACAATCCCATCTGGGATTCCATTATTAGTGCCACTTAATACACGGGGAACCAAAACGGAGAGAGACTGAGTAACTTGTTCAAGGTCTGGTTTCATGAGAGGAGATGCAGGATTTAAACCTGGAAAGTCTGGTTTTGGAGCCAGAGAGCTTGCCTCCAGTGTGCTCCTCACTGCCACTGCCAGTGACTGGCTAACACTGGCAAGCATTGTCTCCCAGACTTCTCCAGCCCAGAGAGGGACACAGCAATGGTACCACATAACACACCACAATGTCTGAATAAACTGTTTCTTCCTCAGAGTCAATGTTTCTTTAAAGTCTTGTGTGTCCTCCGGTCTTGGCTCAGGTATTCTTGTTTGGTTTTTGTATGTGTGTGTGTAGTTCTGGGGATCAGTCTTAGGATCTGCTAACAACCAGGCCCATTTCCTACCCAGTCCCTCAGATGTTCCTTTTGTTACTGACACAGCTTTATTTTGTGGATCAGGGTTATTGAAGGGCTGGGGGAAATGACTCAGTGCATAACAGCAGTTGCTTTGAAAGTATGAGGACCTAAGTTCCAATCCCCAGCACAAATGTGAAAAACAGGCCATAAAGCTATTATCCCAGTCTTTAATCCCAGTACTTGGGAGGCAGAGGCAGGTGGATCTCTAAGGCTGAGGCCAGCCTGGTCTACAGTGTGAGTGCCAGGACAGCCAGGGCCACACAAAGAAACCCTGTCATAAAAACAAAAACAAGCAAACAAAACTCACAGCTATGGCTTTGCACACCTGTAACTCGAGTGCTATGGGGAGTGGAGGCAGGAGGATCACTGGGGCTCGCTGCCTACTATCCTTGCTCCAGGAGGAGATTGACAGAGCAAGATTCCAGAGTGTTCATCTGGCCTCTGCATGCATACCTGTGCATACACTGTGTGCATACACTGTGTGCATACACTGTGTGCATGCATGCATGTGTATATGTGTGTGTGTGTGTAATTATAAAATAACAACAATAGTAAAATAGAAGAGGAAGAGCAAAAGACAACAAACAAAACTATTTTTAGCTCTGGCCTATCACTGCTCTATTGGTGACTATAGAAACCACTCAACTGTTTGTTTTCTTGGTTTATCTAGTAAGTGAAGATAAGTATATTCATTATTATTGCTTTAAGAAACAAGTGTCTTGGGGTTAACTTCCGTGGATAAAGTGTTTGTTGTGCAAGAATGATGACCTAAGTCCAGATCCCCAGCATCTACATAAAATCTGGCCAGGTAACCCTACTGCTTGGGGCAGGTAGAGGCAGCTGAATCCCATGGGCTCATTGGCAAGCCAGTCTAGAGGCAACAGCCAGCTCTAGGTTCAATGAGACACCCTGTTTCAAAAACTAAAGTGGAGAAGCAATTGAGGAAGACTTACCCATGTCAACACCTGGGTTTCACACAAGGGTAAGTTGTACCTACATATGTGCACACGTGCTCAAACACACACACACACACACACACACACACACACACATACACACACTCACACACACACACAGCACTTGGGAGACAGAGGAAGATGGGTCTCTATGAGTTTGAGACCAACCTGGTCTACATAGTGAATTCCAGGACAGTCAAAGCTACAAAGTGAGACTTATCTCAACTCCCATCCCCCTAAAAGAATTATGTTTGCCAGATTATATGGCAATGCAATTGCTGCCATTAAAACTGTGCTTCCTGGATAGTTTTTGTTAATGTGACATAAACTAGAGTCACCTGCTGGGCTGTGGTGGCACATGTCTTTAATCCCAGTACTCAGGAGGCAGAGGCAGGAGAATCTCTGAGAGTTCAAGTCCAGTCTGGTCTACAGAGTGAGTTCCAGGACAGCCAGGGCTACCCAGAGAAACCCTGTCTCGGAAAAAAAAAGCAAAACAGAAGAACAACATAAAAAAAAAAAAAACTAGAGTCTCCTAAGAAGACAGAGCTTTAACTGAGGAGTTATCTCTGTCACACTGGTCTGTGGGGCATTTTTGTTGTTGTCATTGCAGTGCCATCCCTAGGCAGGTGGGCCTGGGCCAAGTAGGAAAAGTAGCTGACCAAGGCCGGGGATGAGAGCCAGTGAGCAGTGTCCCTCTGTCGTCCTCACTGGGGTTTCTGCCAACTCCCCTCAGCGATGGACTGAGATCAGCATACAAAAGCCACAGCAAAAGAAGGACAAATCCTTACCTTGTTAAGAAAGAATAAGTCACGTTTGCTCTTGAGGTAGTTGGACAGGTTTCCGTATTTGCAGTACTCCACGATCACCATCAGAGGCCCTGCGGTCCAAATGGCACAGGCTCAGCCACGCCAAGTCAGGCAGCCATTTGACAGCTTCCAGTCAGCCCTTGAGACCTCAGACTAACCTGTGTTTATATGTGTCAGGCCTGAAGGGGCAACTGGGAGGAGAGGCTATGAATCAACTACTCAACTCAGCCTCTGTAGCATAGAAATGGCCCTTTTTAATAGATCTAAGAATATGACCTTGCTCCAATAAAGCTTTGTGAACACAGACATTTAAATGTCATGCCACAAAATATTATTCTCTCTCTTTTTTCTCCCACCCTGACTATCTGAAGGGGGTGAGCCATTCTGAGCCCACAGGCTGCTTGCCTTCTTCCCATTGCATTGGGGATCTCAGGTGGTAGCATGGCGGCCTCCATTGCACGGCTCAGTGCTTCCCCAATCGCACAGAACTACTTCCAGGTGGAAGTGAGCATTGACCCCTGAAGGCTAGTGGCTAGTGACCAACAAACTCCACACTAGGCTGGTGCCTGGTGAGGCTTGGAGTCTCACCAAGGGTGACACTCTGGGAAAGTGGCATTTCAGTTACTATCATTACTTTACTGGTTTTTAAATTCTGATAGCACCCCCTTGCCCTTCAGGGTCCCAGAAAGGAAGTTGCTTCAAGAGCTGGGGTCTCCCCACCACCAGCTTCTCAGTCTCAGAGGCTTTATTCCATCTTCCAGGTACAATGTTGAGGCAGACGGAACGTGGTCACTGGGGCAGATGCTCGAAGAAGGCTAACCCAAGGTTAGAAGCTACGGGGTCTTGTCTGGCTCACGAGGACTGTGTGTTCCTGCTCCCTTAGCACGTCTTTCTACTTGCCACCTCCTTTTCTACCTCTGTTCCTCCATCTCTGTTTTCTGTGTTGGGAAACTGAAGACCTTTTATGTACAACTCCTTAGCACCTTCATGACTTAAGCTTCTGTTCACACAGAAGTACTAACCTTACCACAGAGGAATTAAAATCAGCGAGGGCATGCTTGGGCCCAATGGTCTACAGCACAGCACAGCTCCATTTCTCTGCCCCTGTGGCTAAGGCCTGTCCTGATGGTCACTCAGAAGGAAGGGGCCCTTCTGGTTAATTCCCATGTCACCTTCTCTTGGGATTTCGCCGGCTGTGGTTTCTGTGTAGCTTCAGGGAGTGTGTAGCCTCTTAAACCATAGTTACCCCCCAACAAGTCAACCTAAGAGAAAAAGGCCTGGCATTTGACCTAGAATCTGGGGAAAGGTATCTAAAAGGGAGTGGCTTTCTTCCAAAGCACTGGGTGGCCATTTTCTCAGGGGTGAGGGGAGGGAATTATTTGAGTCAAGAGCTCCCCTTCTTGTGAGTCTAGAGTTCCCTTCTCAGCTTATGCAAAGCAGATAGCACAGCAGCCCCTCCCACCTTCTCCTTTACCTCCTTGCTTGGTGCAGGCTCCCAGAAGGTTAACCACGTTCAGATGATGGCCGATGTGAGTCAAAATCTTGAGTTCAGTCATCAGAGCCTTGTACTCACTAGCTGTGGCCCCCTCTGTGTAAGAAGCAGGGAAGAGTTAGGGTATGGGACAATGGGGCTGCTTCTGCCCTGAAGGGGACATTAGTGCCCTTCTTGTTTGTCATTTCTCACCATGGGTTGCTTCATTAACTTCCCCACATTCTGCAAAAAGCCAAGTAGCTAGACTGTTTGTAATCCTCCTACCCTCCTGAGCCAACATCCTTTGCATCGAGGTGAGGCCCGCTGTGTTGGTGGCCTCAGTCACTGGACATTTCCTTTTTGTGGCCTGGCTGTGCTCAACAATGTGCTGACTCAGAGTCCACCACCTCATGACCTCCAAAGGCTTCCCTTCAAGCAGAAACAGGTGAGGCAAGACTCCTTCAAGCAGGGGGCCGCCCACACCTTCCCTCTTCTCATTCCCCTTTCTAGGGAGTCACAAGAGAGGAAGGGGAGAGGGGGAGGTGGTGGGCTCTGCAAAATCAGGATAGCTGCTTCTATAAACACCTAAAAATGTGTTATCTTCTTCATAGACTCCTTCATGCCTGGAATTCAAGGGTTATCTCAGGCAACAAGGATTCATATTAACTACCTTTTTTTTTTTTTGGTTTTTAAATGTGTATGGGTGTTTGTGCCTGCATCATGTGTGTGCCTGGTATCTGTAGAGGCCAGAAAAAAAGCACCAACCAGAGCCCGTTACAGGTGGTTTTAAGCCACCATATGGGTGCTGAGAATTGAACCCAAGTCCTCTGCACAAGTAGCAAGTGCTCTTGACCACCCTCCAACTGTAACTTCATTTTTGGCAATCACCTGTATCAGTTCAAGAACCAATAGTGTAGAATCTAAACTGAGTTCCTCTTGTATTTGTTCCTGTTAGCTATTTTGAGGCATTCCTAATTTGAGGTATGTTAAAAATACTAAAAAGTGTTACTGTAAAAAGATTCCAACAAGCCGGGTGTTGGTGGCGCACGCCTTTAATCCCAGCACTCGGGAGGCAGAGGCAGGCAGATCTCTGTGGGTTCCGAGGCCAGGCTGGACCGACAGCCTCCAAAACAGAGAAACCCTGTCTCGTAAAAACCAAAAAAAGAAAAAAAGAAAAAAAAAGATTCCAACAGTATGAGCTAGAGTATGGAGATCTGAGTAGGGGTGTGTGAGAGAGTGTGTATGTGTATATTCATGTGTGCATGTTTGTGTGTATGTGTCTGCATGTATGTGCATGTAGGTGGTTATAGCACAGTGGCAGAGCATGCCTTTAGCATATGCAAAGCCTTGAGTTTCATATCCAGCACCCAAAGTCAAAAGACAAGAAAAAGAAACAAAAAGGAGTTCGAGGGTCTAGAGTGAAAAGTGCAAGTCACTTGAAGCAGCCACTGTGAACAGTTCAGACCTTTCCATATACACTTACAATACCCACTGAGGGCTGGCACAATGGCTCAGTGAGGGAGGGGCTTGCCACTAACCTTGATGACTTGAGTTCGATCCCGGGGACCCAAGTGTGGAAGAAGAGGACCGAGTCGTACAAATTTTCATCACACACACACACACACACACACACACACACACACACACACACACACACACACAGAGTTAGTTTCACGCCCCCCTTTTAATATCAAGAATTCTTCTCATTTCTATTTTTAAAAAAGCTTTCTTTATTTTTGTTTTATGTGTGTGTTGGGAATTAAACTCGGGTTCTCTGCAAGGACAAGTGTTTGTCACCACTTAGTCATCTCTCCAGCCTTTTCATTCCTTTTAATGGACTAATGTGTATAGTTCTCAGTTTTGTGTGTGTGTACTCATGCACGCATGCATGCATGTGTGTGTGTGTGTGTGTGTGTGTGTGTGTGTGTGTGTGTGTGTGTGTAGGCCAGAGGACAACCCAGGTGCCATTCCTCAGGGTCTGTCTACCATGTATTTTGAGACAGGGACTCAAACTCAGGTCCTCATGGTTGTTTGGCAGACAAAACTACTGCCCCAGCCACAGGGTTTTTTGTTTGTTTGTTTGTTTTGTTTTTGTTTTTCAAGGCAGAGTTTCTCAGTAGCTATGGAGCCAGTCCTAGAACTCGCTTTGTAGACCAACCTGGCCTGGAACTCACAGAGAAATGCCTGCCTCTGCCTCCCTCTTGCTGGGATTAAAGGTGTACACCACCCAGCATTATTATTATTTTTTTACTATTAGAAATAAAACTATAATAGGCAGCTTGAGTAAGTCCTGGAAGTGGGTCAAAGGTGTGTGTACTTAACATTGTGGTAGATATTGATATAGTATTTTATAAGATGGGATCATTTTTTAATAATAACCAGATAAACTCGGAAAGCCTGGCTGGGGTAGGGGTCAGCTGACAGTGGCTGCTCAACAAATATTTTTGTATAAATAAACAGTGCTATTAGTTTTCTCATTTTGGACATTTTTTCATTTGAGTGTGAGGGCCAAAAAGTTTAAGGTTTAACTTGGGAACACATTGAAAGGGCTTTTGAATATGGCCTTTGTCTGACATTGTGCTTTTTCCAGTTCCCCTGGAACAGAGAGTAAACTGCTTTAAGCAAGAAGGCTTGAGGGATTGACTTTTTTCTTCCAGAATTCTGTGGCATGGATGCTGTAGAAATCTCTGTTCTATCAATGATGACAGTATAAAGATTATTTTTATTTTATGTGTATGTGCACTGCATGTGTGCCTAGTGCCTGTGGAAGCCAGAAGAGGGCGCTGGATCCCCTGGGGTTACAGACAGTTGTGAGCTACTGTGTGAATGCTGGAAATTGAACCCGGGTCTCCTGGAAGAGCAGCCAGTGCTCTTAACTGCAGAGCTGCCTCTCCAGCCCTGAGTTTACAAATGTATTCTGGATTATGTAGAGGAGAATGGCCTTGAAAACAATCTCAAATTATAATATTCTGCCTTATAATTTAACAATTCCTGATAAATGGTATCCTTGTATGGTAAGGAGAAAAAGCCAGGGTCTGTGGCTCAGACAGCTCAACCTTTCTGAGCCACTTTTCCTCATCTGCAATAGAGAGGGGGAGGCAGGCAGATCTCTGTGAGTTTGAGGCCAGCCTGGTCTACAGAGTGAGTTCCAGAACAGCCTCCAAAGCAATGCAGAGAAACCCTGTCTCCAAAAACCAAAAAAAAAAAAAAAAAAAAAAAAAAAAAGGTTGTTACTTATAGAGAAGAAATGCTTATAAACATGAAAGGGCTTAGCAGCATCACAGAATAAAATTTGATCAACTAACTTCCTCTAGCTTTTTAGTTTCAGGTTATAGTGAGGGCAGACGCTGGCCTAGCCTTTGGGATTTGTGAAGTGTGCTGTTTCCTGACAACCACAGTGGACCATGACCACACTAACCTTCTGAACCTACGTGAGATGTGAGAAAAGAAAGACCTTAGGGTGACAGAGATCATTTTCCTATGGACAATTTTGGATTGTTCCATTGACAAGGTTTATTTTGAGCTAGTGTAGCTGAATCTAACAGTCCTGGAACAAAGAAGCCAAGGCTGGAGCAGAAGTAGCTTGTTTATTCCTAGGCTACATTAATCTTGCATCAACATTTAGAGAGTGCACAAAGGTGAAAGGTCACTGGAAGCTAGACCACAGCATTTGGGAATGCACAAACTTACCTTTCAACATCTTCACAGCCACGGTCCGGCAGGTGGGTGATTTCTTAATGCCAAATGCAGATGCTTGAACCACTTTCCCAAAGGCCCCTCTCCCGAGCGATTTGCCTACAATAGAAGAAGGCCTTGGTTTGTTTGTGAAGCCAACAGCAAGGCTGAGTCTTTTCCAGGAAGGAAATGCCGTGCTGTACGTGTGATGCGAGGCGCGCATCTTTGAAGGGATTCTGCAATGGACTGACCCCAAAGGAGGCCAAGTGAGTGCGTTTCTGGTGTCCCTTCCTCTGAACTCATTCCTCTGCCTCTGAGCCCTCCCACCCCAACTCGGCCACATCCTTCAAGACTAGTTTAGGGCATTCAAAGAAGAAAAGTGGCCATTTCCCCTTGCCATAGAGCATCACAGGAGGGAAAAAAATAACCAAACCCAGGTGGTTTCTTTCACTGTTTCAGGACTGATATGCTCCGAGTCCTCTTTCTCATCCTCAAGGTCATCCCCTCTGTTTTCTGCAAAAAGGATGAAGGGGTGACTGCTGAAGTTATAACAATGCCTCCCATCTTAAGAACAAACACTCGGTCGTTTCTCAGACTGCTGTGCTAGTCAGAGCATTCCCTGGTAGCTATTATATGATTATAAGATCACTACAAGCCCTTGTGGTTTTCCGAGCATGAGCCATCAAACATGGGTAGTAATTTGCTTCAACCCCAGAGAGATGATTGCCCGAGCCCTAAGAAAGCAGGATATCTTTTGTGATGCCCGTTATGTTTTGCTATAGTGACTGTTAGCACACTTTTTTTTTTTTTTTTTGAGACAGGGTTTCTCTCTTTGGCACTCACTTTGTAGACCAGACTGGCCTTGAACTCACAGAGATATACCTGCCTCACCTACCAGGTGCTGGGATTAAAGATGTGTGCCACCACCACTGGGCTCTTTCCCCACTCTTGAAGGAGACAACTTAACTTGGAGAGGGAGAGACACTGCCTGAATTATCAAGTACCTGGTGTAGTCACGGTTAGGTTACAACGGTGACCCTGCCCAGTTACAGCAGAATGGAGTGCCCTGTTAGGACTTTGGTGGACAGTTACTAGAGAGTCCTGTGGAGGGGAGATCGGGAGCTCGAGGCCCTTTAGGCAGAATACCCCTGGATATCTCAGCTATCATTTCTACTTAGGGTCCTCTTTTGCACAATAAGGAAGCTAAACCGAGCCATAAGAAACCGACTCCCTAGTTGAAAGGAGGGTAAACCAAGAAAGTCAACTTTGAGGGGCTCTTCTGATGACGTCTCCTCTGGGGTGGGGCAGGGTGGAGGGATAGAAATAACAGAACACCATTGGTTGAAAGAAAATGTGCCTGCTAGGTTAATTTAACCCTCTTTTCCATCTCAGTCTCTTTCCTCAGAATGCCCTGGTAATTCACCTTCCACTAATTAGCCTTCCTTCCCCCAAAGGATATGGGTATGGATGTATGCATGTATGTACATATGCTCTCGTAAGCTTTGTGATGGAGCTTTTGTCATGTCGGAGCCTGTCCAGCAATGCACAGCTGCTCAGAAGTCTGCATCTTGCTGCAGCTTCAAGGCTCCTGCCCATCACGAGGAGTCCAATTAGGACCCAGGCAGTTTCCATGACACGCATCATCACAAGAGGACACACTGGGACACACCCAGGAGGTGACATGGTTTTCAAAAGCCAAGCATGTCCTATGGGCAACTGCTCAACTTGATTCCTCCTAGAGCATGTGACAGGACAGAGACACAGCCCCCTAGCCTGTTTCCAGGTAAAATGGTCTGAACCAGAATGGACTCAAGTTAAAACAGAAGAGCAACCAGTGACTCCCAGAGTGCTGAGCATCAACATTAGGTGGGGAAGAGTTCCTCAGGGGCCTCATGGCTTAAAAAAAAAAAAAGGTTGGGTGGTGTTGACCCAAGCCTTCAATCCCAGCAGAGGCAGAGGCAGGCAGATCTCTGTGAGTTCAAGGCCAGTCTGTTCTACAGAGCAAGTCCCAGGACAGCCAGGGCTACACAGAGAAACCTTGTCTTGAAAAACCAAAACAGGAAAAAAAAAAAGTAAAAGAACAATGGTGTTCCTTAGCTGTTGTATCCCACCATCTGATATGAAGGGTCCCAAGCTCAAGAAATGTCCTGATAGTCTCTCCACACACCCCAAAGCTCCTGCCTTTCTCCAGGGTGGACCCTACACATTCCCTTCTGGGCCATCACCGGGCATTTTGTGTTACAAGTGTTTGGGGGTTCTGCTTCCATCAGGGGGTATAAGTTGGTGCATACTGGGCAGGCCGAAGCCCCATAAAATGACACCAAGCTATTGTGGGCTCTTTGATTATCTTGTGCACTGGTCCGTCTTCAGACCCCTGGTTCTAGTTGCAGTCAGACTAGTTCACACTGAACTTAACCTAGTCTGATAGTGTCTTTCGATGGAATTCTTAGTGCTGTCTGGAATGCCACATAGAAGTTCAGAGATATGGTGAGTCACTGTCACACAAGGCAAAAAGTACTGGAATGGCCTTGAAGAGTTCTAGTCACCCTAGGGAGGGTGCAGGGTAACATGAGCTCGGCCCCCATTATGTTTCCAACATGAAATGTCTATCATAGATTCAAATGTTGAGTGAGGGCTTGATCTGGAGCTGTGGTGTTATTTGGTTGGTGAGGGTGAGGAGTTTCCTGGAGCTGTAAGAGGTAGGCTGAGCCAGTGGATATAGGTCACTTGGGGAGGTTTCTTGGGGGTGGGTTATCCTTGTCTGCCTGTCTCTCTGTTTCCTGTCTTCTGCGAAGTGAGACCCACCCATGCTCATACATAGACTTCTGCCACCAGGATGCCTCTGCTACAAACAATGCCAGGCCACCATGGGCAGAACCTCCTGAAGCCATTAACAACAACCAAAAATCATTCCTGTCCTAAGTTTCTGTCAGGTGCTCTGGTCTCTGCGGCAAAAGCTAATCAATGCCACCCTCTCTGGCAATCAAGGGAGCTGGTCCTTATTGACTGTTGTAATGACCCGGCTCCTGATTCCCTGTGTGCCTCCCCGTGCTAGAAAACTTGCCTGTATATCACTTGCTAATAGAAACAGACTACGATATCAGACAGTACCAGTGCATTTCCAGGAGCTGCATTCTCTCCCAGGGTTAGTAAGGAACCCTGAAGGAGCCAAGGAGTTTTCTTTTCTTCTCAATTTCAGCAATTCCACTAATAACACCGAATTCCAACTGAACAGTCAAGCAGCAAAACTTCTGACTTACCTCCTACAAGGCTGGGCGTTGTGGCCAACAGAGAGAGTGGGCGCTGCTAAAATCACCACTTGGTCTGTGCATGTCTTACAATTTTTTTAAACCCCAATGTAACACTGTCTATCAGACCATCTTTTTTTTCCCCTGCTCCATCAGTTTAGATGCAAGCGTGGTAACTTTCAGTTGCCAGCCATGATTTCAAATCACTTTGTCATTTCTTTGGCTAGCAAGAACCAAGAAGTCTGGGGCCTCCCGGCTCCCACGTTAATCAGAGGGGCACTCCTCCCATCTTGTGGCCACACTGTGCACTAAAAGGCTCGACGCCGGTTCTCACTAGTCAGAGACACTCAGGTGGACGGCAGCCAAATCACAGCTGAGGCCCTTCACACAGCACAGCGCTCACAAGAAAAACCTTCACCAAGGAAAAGCTTATGAAATGTGATTGTGTGAATCCCCTGAGCCCAAGGGAACTCTGGAGACCAGGGAAAAGCCTAGAGGGATGTGCTGTGAACTAAACTGACAGGGAATGAAGGGCTGGCGCGGGCTGGGGTAGGGGTCAGGAGTTGGCAGGGAGCTCTCACGGATCCTGTCCGGGGAGAAGCATGTCTAATCCTAGCTAACGAGTTTGGAAAGCAGCATGGCCCGAGAACAGGTCCTGATTGTGGGGAAAATGATGGTGTGTTCCCTGCCAAGGTCACCGAGGGGCTCAGTGAGCCACTTTTGAACTGTGCCTGGCAGAAGGAATACATCCAATGTGCTACTTCGTATAACTGCTCCATGTTTAGTAGATTCCCCCCCCCCCCCAGTCCACCCCCAAGCAGCCATTTCTGGCTTTCTACAGCTTTCAGCTGACTTTCAAATGTTTTCCCCCCGAGCCAGACAGGACCTACATCGATACTTTCCTCTCCCTGTAAGCAAGTGTTTGGAGACCTAAGAGAAAAACCGTTTTACCCTCTCTGTCACCACCACCCCAGGGAGACTTGCCTGTGAAGAGAGGGGTCACAGTGCCAGAACAGCCAGCTCTCTGGCTCCGAGAGTGACAAGCCCAGAGAACATTGGGCTCACAATCTGTTTTCCTAGTTCCAACCGCTAATGACTCTGGCATACACGGAAGCGGAGTGGAGAACTTTCAGAAGCCATGCTCCAAACGTATTGGGTAGGGGTAATTGAGGCTTCAATTGTTTTGCAAGGCCAGAGCTGGAGATAAAAGCTCATTGTGACGTCTGAGCCAGAGGAACTGGGGGTACGCACAGGGCCTGCTGTTTACAACATCTTCCCTACCTGGAAAACCTGTTTCTGCTCTTCAAAAGTGAAACTTCAGTAATCCCTTAGGGCTGGACCACAGCACACCAGGAAAGTCACGGGACATCTTACAACGTGAGTCTGCACAGAGGGCTTGATTTGTCCGAGCGTCACTCTGCTGGATTGTGTTCTAGGCAACGTGTCTAGTCCCCAGTAGTTTCGTTATTTAAGGCTGCCTGGGCTTGTAAGCCAAGGACTCTCTTTCCTTCCTCCTTCATTTACCCACAGGCTGGAGACTCAATTCGGAGGGAAGAGACTGAAACATCTTGGCATTTCTACGGCTTATGCTGGCACCTGCCGCTCAGTGCTCAATAACTACTGAGTGATGGCAAAGGTGCTTCTTGTTGCCTTGTCCTATTGTCTCAGCAACAGCTTGTGTTCTCTCTGGTCCATGACTCCAGCTAGTCGGTGGGCAGCTGGAGGGTAGACTCCTAAACCTAGCTCTCTGTTGCTTTTCTCAAAACAAGTGTGCTGCATGGAATAGCTTGTTCTCACGGGCTTAGAATCTGTCAAACAAAATACATTACCTAGTTTAAGTCTTTCCCGCGCAAACTCCCACTTGCTGGCATCATAGGGCAGCCGTTCACACTGCTCATCCAGGGGGACTTCATCTGGGTCCATTATGATTGACAGGTAGTCCGTCTTTACTTCAGAAGAAGGCTGAGAGACAGAGAACCACCCCCAAAGTCATCAAGAAGAAAACAACCGACTTTCAAAACCTAGTTACTTACTTTATGATACTCTGCCATGTCTGCCCGTTTGTGTCGTTGGGCCAAGCGCAGAGGGTCCTCCTACACACTGTGGTGGTTTGAAGGTGGATGGCCTCCATGAGCTCATGTTTGAGTATCTGGTTCTCAGTGGTGGACTGTTCCGGAAGGATCAGGAGGTGTGGCTTTGTGGGGGGAGGTGTGTCACTGGGGGTGGGCTTTCGAAGGTTCAGGCCAAGCTCTGACCGCACTGCCTCCCCCTCTCTGCCTGTGACTTTGTGTGTGCATGGTGTGTGCTTTAAGCTGCTCTCCAGTGTGACCACGCTCGTCACCATGACGGTCATTGACTCCCCTCTGAAACTGTTAAGCAGGCCCCCAGTTAAAAATGCTTTCTTTCTTTCTTTCTTTCTTTCTTTCTTTCTTTCTTTCTTTCTTTCTTTCTTTCTTTTTGAGACAGGGTTTCTCTGTGGCTTTGGAACCTGTCCTGGAACTAGCTTTTGTAGATCAGGCTGGTCTCAGATTCACAGAGATTCTCCTGCCTCTGCCTCCTGAGTGCTGGGATTAAAGGCGTGCGCCACCAACACCCAGCTAAATGCTTTCTTTTAAACGTTGCTTTGGCCCTGGTTTCCTCACAGGAATAGAACAGTGACTGAGACATACACACTTGGAGCATGCCATTTCCAGGACACAGCTCCTTACTTTCCTCTCATGACATTTCCACAGAAACAGTAGCATCTTTTCTTGAATGAATGCACCTCAGACCTCCACCGACCTCACGTACACATCATGTTCTGAACCAATCACATGAGAGTTTTTCTTTAAGAAATGAAGAGTGGGCCGGGCGTTGGTGGCGCATGCCTTTAATCCCAGCACTCGGGAGGCAGAGACAGGTGGATCTCTGTGAGTTTGAGGCTAGCCTGGTCTACAGAGCTAGTTCCAGGACAGCCTCCAAAACAATACAGAGAAACCCTGTCTCGAAAAAACCAAAAAAGAAAGAAAGAAATGAAGAGCATTCAATACAATTCTGAGCAGCGACTGAGCTTTCCATGACTGCTCTGGACATTTAAAAAAAGATTTACATATGTTTATTTTATATGTATGGGTGTTTTGCCTGAATGTATTGAAGGGACCAGACCCTCCTCCAGCCCCTTGCTTTAGCAACCATGACAGGCTGCAGAAAAGACACAGCAAGATGTAGGCCTCTGACTCAGCACATGTTGCTGAGTTTCCAGCCTTCTGACCTTGCTGGACCTGCCCTAGTCACTAGGGGAGGGCCTATAGGCCATAGCAACCAGTTGACCAATCAGCACAGGACAGGTCATCCAAGCCCAGTAGTACACCAATTCTGAGACTGTTACGAACCCCTAGATACTCCCCTTGCTCTGCCCAATAAAATTTCCTGACTTGTGGCTCCTTCAGGCCCTTCTCTCTCCACCTGCCATGTGAACGGATGGAGGGCCTGAGCTAATACAGTTAACTTGTTCAATAATAAAAGACGCTTTGCTTTTGCATCAGATGGGTCTCTTGGTGATTTTGGGGTTCAGAATTTGGGCACAACAGTATGTAAGAGCACCATGCCTGGCTGGTACCCATGGAGACCAGAAGAGGGCATCAGATTTCTTGGAAGTGGAGTTACAGAAGATTGGGAGCCATCATGTAGGTGCTGAGAACAGAACCCAGGTCCTCTAGAATAGCAGTCAGTGCTCTTAACCACTGAGCCATCTTCTAGCCCCACAAAGTCCTTTCTATTCTCAGATGTAGAGGCTAACAATTTCAAAGGCTGAGGAGTAAATGTAGACACATCTTGAGTTCCTCAGGGCAATGTGTTCAGATGTCACATTCATAAGACAGGCGGGAGCTATGAACCCAATTTCTTGGAAATCTATGGCAGATCACAGATGTGTAGACCGACAGCTACTGTCTATCATCAGCAGGTTCAATTTCTACTAATGAACACATTTCCAGGGCTGATGACTGAGTTTCTGTGGGCTGGACAGAAAAGAGGAGTTTCCCGTAGAACCCTTGCCTCAAAATAACATAAACTCCATTGCAATGAAGTGGGCCTTCCCCTTTGCAGTTTGTTTCCCTAAGCAAGAGGAAGCATGAAGCGTGTGTGTGTGTGTGTGTGTGTGTGTGTGCATATGTATGTATCTGTGTGTGTGTGTCTGTGTGTGAGCATGTACTCGTGGGGGGTGGGGGGTGGTACTGCCTTTCCATATCCACCACTTCACCCCCGCCACATTCCTCTGCCCTTCCAGTGCTCCAGGCAGTCACAGCTCACCTCATCCATCACTTGCCTGCAATCATTTCCTTCCACACATTATCATTAGAACGTGGGACAGATACCTCAGGGCAGACAGTTTGCTCAGCCTCCAATAAAGGGCGAAAAGTCAAAAGATTAAGGAAGGGTACCATGGGTGGGGGTCAGGCTGTAGGTGCTAGGTACTCCGGGGAGAAGCACTGTTAAAATTTTGATGACGTAACTTTTTTTTTTTTGCATTGACTATCACCAAGGTAACCACTAAAAAGCATGTGACAGCTGGGACCTGGCAAGGGACACCTTGGGTTTCTGCAGCATGGGGAGGTGTCGAGGATGCAGAGCGGGACAAGAGGACAGGCGAAGGAAGAGCCTGTCCCGTGTGGGTCCTGTGAGATTCTATGCTTTTATCTCAGTAAGGCAGATGAGGGGAAACACCACACAGCCCTGTAGGGGAAGTATGCTGGCAGAGTACTAGTTGGCAAATATTTATTCTTTTAATTGACACTAGCACTGAGCAGCTACTCAACTTGGCACGGAGGACAACTGCCTGGATTTGAGCCACCCTTTGACTTGCTGTACACAGCCAAATGACCTCCCAGGCAAGTTGCTTAACTCCCCTAAACCTAGTTTGCTTATCTGTGAAATGGTAATCATAATTGTACTTCTCTGAGAGGGTTGCTATGGATATCAAATGACTGGCCAACCTGTTAGAACAGGACCTGGCTTCTAGCAAGCATCAGTACACATTGGCCATTGTTCAAACACTGGTTCTACCGGGTGGGGACGAGGAAATAAAACACATTCTTAGTCAATGAGGAATTAGCATTGTGGTTAGGAAAAGCAGGTGACGTGCATCTTTTTTGGGCTCCTTGTTCACCTTTGCCTCCTCCAGTCAAGTTGTAGATGATCTTTCCCTCCCACCAATTCATAGGATGTAGAATCTTGGCAGTATAAGAGCCCTCTTAAACCTGTTCTAGATCTTTCCATTCTTATCCCATAAGGTCTTGCTGAGAAGGTTGGCTGCTGCTCCAGGAGAGGAGAAGGGGGCAGAGCAGAGAGTGTTTTATTCTGGTCATTCCCTCCAGCTATACTCTTCCAAGTCCACCTTAAGCACTGCGTCCCCCTTAGCTTTCTCCTTCCATGCCCCTCCCTTGGGGTGCCCCAGTTCTGCTCCCTGCCAGCAGACTCAGCAAGCTTGCTTTTCTGCAAATACCCTCCCAGAAGATGCAGTCTCTCCTTTCAAAACTATTGTTTCCTTCTGAAGTTGTTCTGAGGAACAAACACTCTGTGTGCCAAAGCCTGGTGCCCTGTATGAACATGGAAGACTGCTGCCAGCCACCTCTCCCATTCCAACTACTAAGCATGCCTAAAGATTTTCAATAGCAAGCCGGGCGGTGCTGGCGCACGCCTTTAATCCCAGCACTCAGGAGGCAGAGGCAGATGGATCTCTGTGAGTTCAAGATCAGCCTGGTCTGCAGAGAGAGTGCCAGGACAGCCAGAGATATACAGTGAAACCTTGTCTCGAAAAACAAAACAAACAAGGAAGGGAGAGAAAGAGAGAGATGCAGTAACTTTGCCTTTCCCAAGATCTTTTCTAAAGATCTCTCAACTCTAACCTTTTAATAGGCCGCACGTTTCTTCTTACGCCATGATTCTTGCTCGTTCTGGTCTTCAAGGTGAGGCTTCATCTGAGACCAGAAAAAACACCATCCCTCTCCCACTCCTCTAACTGGAGCAGCTCCTCTTACCACACCTCACTTTTGCCTAACACCAGCCATCCGCCTTCACCAAAGCCTTCGGCTAGTAGATTTACTTCTCTGCATTGCCTCCAAGGCTCTGCCCAGCTGGACTTGGCAGCCCGATGCTGGCCTTGCCTTGGCAGCCTAACCTCAGCACTGTTGCTCCATGGGTTCTGTTCTTCGACACCCCTGCTCCCTCTAACACTGATGCCTCCGGAGTCCACACTACCCCTTACACATTTTGGTTAACTCTCCTTTCCTTTCTTTTCTTTTCTTTTTTTTTTTTCTGAAACAGGGTCTCCTTATGTTGTCCAGGCTGGCCTCAAACTTGCAATCCTCCTACTGCTGCCTGCTGAGTGCTGGGATTATAGACATGAGCCACTATGTCCATGCTTGGTCCACTGTCCATTAACCTGATGCAGAATTGCAGTGAGACATTTGACTGTGTGATGGAGTCCAATCAGTCTCCTTCCAGACTGCAAACAGTAGCCATGGCTCTCAGAGGTCCCCAGAGGGCCTGACGTGGGGGCTAGTGCCCTGTACCACACAGACTCATGGGAAACAGAGCCCGCTCAGAGGTGGGTCTTTATTTCCCTTCCCCTTTGATTTCTTTTCCTTTTCTGGGGGACAGGCGCTGAGACAGGGTTTCTCTGTGTAACCCCTGGCTGTCCCGGAACTCACTTTGTAGACCAGGCTGTCCTGGAGTTCACTGAGTAAATACGACTTCGGGGCTGAGCACTTGGCAGTGGATAACCAATTAGAGGGTTCATTCCCGGGAGAGGCTAATTCCCCCCTCAGTACTCCTTAGCGGCCTGTAGTTCTTTGTTTAGGGATGAGGCCCCTGTGATATTAGCTATACCTATGATAGCTCAGCATTATGGCTGCCGAAGTGAGATTGAACAATGAGGATAGGGATGGACATGCTCTCATGGAAGGGGGCAGTTGCAGGGCTTAGTGATCCCTTCTTCCGTACTCTTACCCGTTTCAGTTTCCGGATGAAGAGAGTTAAAAGGAGCCAGAAGAGAGTCGCAGCCACACAGGTGCATGTGAGCGTGATCAGCTCCAGGTTCGACTTGTCTGAGGATCCTAGAGACAGAAAAAGCACAAAGACGTCTGCTAGGAATAAAATGTGTGGGGACCTTGGCGGATTCCATGGCAAGTGAAGGGGAGAGGGAGAGAGGGACAGAGGGAGAAGGGAGAGAGGGAGAGAGGGAAGGAGGGAGAGGAAAAAGTCCTGTCTGCCCCTTCAAAGGAAGGGGGGGAGAGCGTAAGTGGGTGGGGTCTGTCTTTTTTTTTTTTTTTTTTGGTTTTTTTTTTTTTTCGAGACAGGGTTTCTCTGTGGCTTTGGAGGCTGTCCTGGAACTCGCTCTGTAGACCAGGCTGGCCTCGAACTCACAGAGATCCGCCTGCCTCTGCCTCTGGGGTCTGTCTTTTAAAGGGTCCTTTGCAACTGCGGGCCGACTAGTAGGCGTGGGACCCTGGGCTGACCAGGGTACTGCCTGAATGTATTCTGCCAGGGACAGGGATGGGGGCGGGCAGGCCAACATAATGCCTGAATCCTTGCAATGTCAACACAATGAAACCCTCAAGTGTGATGCCTCCGCTTGCTCTAGGGAGCAAAAGTCCCATGTTCTAAGATACACCATGATCTCACACCCAGAGGACTTTCTAGAAATTCTTATTTCTAGAAACAAGATCTTCTCAGAAATGGTTAGTTAAAAACCCGAGGAGAAAGTAAAGATGGAGGGATATTGAGGCAGGGGGAAAAGCTCATTAGAGTGTGAAATCTGGAATATGTTAAATCTCCCTAATTGGTTTTAGAGGAAATTCTACAGAAAAGAAAAAGACATAAAAGGGCCCCTTTGGGACTCACAAAAGTCTTCAAAGCTGACACTGGAAATAAAAATAAAACTCAAGGACAGTCACGAGTGCTTGCTTGCCACTCTGAACCACCCACAGTCTTGTCCCCTGCGTCTGGGACTGTGACCTCAGCAGCTGATTGGACTGGCTGAGAGGAAAGAAGAGACCATGGGCCTGCCTAGTCACATTGATTCCAGGGTCAAGAGTGCAAAAACTGAGCCGTGCCCCTCCCAGGTTCAAAGAGAGACCAGAGCAGTTATGCACGCCATGCCTGGTCAGTAAGGGAAAAGTCCCCTGGGCCCAGCGGGGTTCCCTCCTAAAGATTCCAGGGGTAAGTCTCCAGGAATTCCAAAGAAACATCTTCTCCTTTGACTTGACAAAGGAAGTTAGGCCAAGGGGGGTGAGACTTGTTCTTAGGCGTGATAGGAGGGTCTGCTGACCAGCGGCTGGTACTTACAAGTATAGTGTGTTCACACCCACCCCTTGGACATGTGACAACAATATCACAGCTTCAAACATCAGTATATCTCACCGAGGGGCTCTTTCTCTTAACTAAGTTCTGCTACAGGAGCAGTAGGTGCAGCAGAAGACTAGAAGATGAGTAGTGGAGAGTCAGAACATTTGAGAATCCCAGAGAGCCAAACCAAGTGTCTCACAGCAGACATCAGGTCATTGGCCTACTTTATTTTTCATCCTTTGAAACAGGGTCTCCCATGCATGTACCCTAAGTGGGCATCAAACTCACATGTATCACCAAGGATGACTTTGACCTTCTTGCACACACCTGCAATTCCCAGCACTCCTGGGTGAGATGGGGGGCAGGAAACTCCCCCAGAAGCTTACGAATTGGCCAGTGACATACTCAGCATAGCGACAGAAGCAAGACAGACCCCCAACTTCAAAACAAATTGGAAAGAGAGAGTAAGCTTCTAAAAGGTTAGCCTCCGATATCCACACATATGCCCCCCCCATAGTAAACAAATGAAATTTAAAATGCGTCAGAAGCTGAGCGATGCAATGCCCTGTGGAAGATGTACTTTAAATAGGTTTTGAATGGGAGACTTGAAGGCAGGGAGGAGCATCACGGGAGTGGGAACATCCTGGAGGTGACTGTAGATGGTGTGTGTGTGTGTGTGTGTGTGTGTGTGTGTGTGTGTGTGTGTGTGTGTGTGCACAGGACAGGACTGGAGCATCATGGGCTCTGGGCACCTGGGTGACGAATGCACTAAGTGCAATGCTGCAGGCAGCTGGAGTCCGTGAGAGACCCTGCACGGAACTGCGGTAAGTACACAAGCACTCTGGGACCCTGTGAGTGATGGCTGACTGAGTGCCTTCTGTTCTGGGGACACTTCTAAGGACTGGCGAATGTCCACTTACCGAGACTCCTGCCAACACTGAGCTGGATTTCCCCATCCCTTGGATGAGGAAGTTGAGGGTGCTGAGAGATTAAGTCTCTTGCCTGTGAGTGGAAGGGCTGTGGTCTTAACCCAGCTGATGCCACTGTGTGTCTAAGGGCACTGCCACTTCCTCCTCTCCTCCACTGTCTGAGGCTTTATGAGAGCCCATTAATCGCTGTAGAGAGGCAACAGTCTCTGTCCCACCTGCTCGACTTTCTCTGCTTGTGAAGGTATCACCTCCTCTGTCATCCCACAGTCACTGTCCCCGAGAACTCTCCAGTTCTCATCTGCCCAACTTTGCCTGTGTCCAGTCACCTCCACTCCTTTCCAGGCCACAGATTAAATCCTATCATTCGGCTGCCTCCGTGCCAATGTGTTCTCTCTGCTATTGTCAGGATAGAATTCAAACGGTGAGCTGGTGGTATGGCTCAGTGAAGGTGTGTGCTTTGCATGTTAAGGCCCTGGCTTCCATGCCTAACACTGCCATTTTTTAAAAAGACTGGTATACGTTTATTTTATGACATGGGTGATTTTTGCCTGCATGTGTGTGTATGTGCCAGCATCTGTGGAGGCCCAGAAGAGGGCATTGGATCCTTTGGAACTGGAGTTGCAGATGGTTGTGAACCACCATGTGGGTGCTGGGAACTGAACCAGCTCCTTTGCAAGAGCAGCCAGTGTTCTTAAGTGCTGAGCCAGCTCTGCAGCCCTGCTCCCAATTTTAAAAGTTAGTTAAAAATTTAAATGCTTAGGTCTTTATCTTCTTTTGTCCTTCAATTTCACTATATATCCTCAGATTGGAAAAACTATAAGCCAAAGTTCATGTGAATATGGGTTTCTTCAAGTGCACACACACACATACACCACACACATCACACACACACACCACACACACACACATCACACACACACACCACACACACATCTCACACACACACACACACCACATACACACATCTCACACACACACCACACACATCACAGACACACCACACACATCACACACACACACACCACACACACCACACACACACATCTCACACACATCACACACACACACCACACACACACATCTCACACACACACCACACATACACACACATCTCACACACACATCTCACACACACATCACACACACACACCACACACACACCACACACATCACAGACACACCACACACATCACACACACACACCACACACACATCTCACACACACACCACACATACACACACATCTCACACACACACACATCACAGACACACCACACACATCACACACACACACCACACACACACATCTCACACACACACACATCTCACACACACACACACCACACATCACACACACACACCACACACACACACATTTCACACACACATCTCACACACACACACACACCACACATCACACACACACACCACACACACACACATCACACATACACACACACACACACACACACACACCCTTGCTTATGCTGCAAACAGGTTCTGTGGTAAGACTGGAACCTTCTGAAGGCACCCTGCAGTGGCCTCCAGCCATCACAGATGCTTATGACACTGTCTTCTCAGGAGCTCTGCACGTACTCCCGGCACGGAATGTGAAGCCCATGGCCCTCTCTGACTGTGAGAACTTTCCCACCGCATTCTGTGCGACAGGAAGCTGGCCCCCAAAGTCTAATTCCACAGTCCTTACTCAAGCAAAATTCCTGTCAGTGGGACTATTTGTGTGTAAACACATATTTATGGAACCAGCTCATTCGAATACCCTTAGGAAGACTGTCCATGAGGTCCAATTTAACACCAGTATTCATGGACATTCAGTAGAAATCTGAGGACTTTACCACGTACACCGTGGCACGCGGCATTTATGGTCTCATTTGATAATTCTCTCTCTGTGTGTGTGTGTCTCACTCTGTCTCTGTCTCTTTCTCTCTCTGTATCTGTCTCTCTCTGTGTCTGTCTGTCTGTCTCTCGCCTAAAGAGCTGTCAGGACAGGCTTTGGCTGGACAGCAGGAGCCCTTAGGTGCTTTCTCTACACACTAGTCTGGCTATACCCAGCATCAGCTGGTGGTGACGGAGATCAGTTGAGTACATAAAATAGCCTCTCTGCTCAGGGTCAGAGGCAACATGGATGGGACTTGATAACCATTGGGAGTGAGTGCTGGTCTCAGGGATATCAGTCCCATAAAATGTGTGTAAATGGACAGAGTCAGGGACTATTTCCACGGGATGCTGATGGGAATGTGGCCCAGAGTATATGATAATGGTGCCTTTTGTTATCGATTCTCACCCTCTGGCACAGACAAATGTTTGTCAGTTGCCTTCCCAGGCTTGTATCGTCCCTCTGGGTGCCACCTAGCAGCTAGTCTGAATGCTGAGGGATAGTGTATCTTGTCAAGGGTCTGTCTTGCCTGGTGTCTTGAGCCTCTCTGGTGATGATGGCAGCTCTTTTTGCACTGTCTAGGTTGCACAAACTGGCAGCCCACCTTCACAGGACAGCCACCAGGGACAGGCTTCCGCTGGGTAGGCCAACCTAAGCCAAAGTTTAGGTGTTTTCACGGTAGCTAGGCACCACCCACACACTGGCCTGGCATGTGGCTCTGTGTGACAGCAGGCGCCAGCCCCTCAGGAAGCAGAGTCGTTAGCTCAGCTCACAGAGTGTAACAGGTGAGTTCCCAAGAACGAAATCACAAGGAGTTTTGTTCCCAGAGCCTACCCTGCCCCAGGGGTGGGGTAGGGGTGGGTGGTGGGTGGTGGGGGACTAGGGCAGCTGCCATCAGGAATTGGGAATATGTCCTTGCAGAAGCCTTCAAGTAGCTGTGTGGCAG